TCCTGCAGAAACACATGGGCGCAAAGTTTGAGAAAAGGCCTCAACCTTGGCGTGCTACGATTAACCCGGAAGATGTTCATTCGGGGGATTTCTTGGCCGTGTCAAAGATTAGAGGCCGATGGGGCGGGTTTGAGACGTTAGAGAAATGGGTGACCGGGGCTTTTGCTGGTCACACTGCTGTTTGTCTAAAGGATGAATCGGGAAACCTTTGGGTTGGGGAATCCGGCCATGAGAACGAAAAGGTACTCGAGCCTTTTGATATTTCACCAGTTCTCCTTCACTTGTGGGGTTTTGGATTTAAGAGATTTTTACCCTTTGATCTGATGTTCTGGCAGGGTGAAGAAATCATTGTTGTGATTCCGTGGGATGAATGGTGGGAGCTGGCATTGAAAGATAACTCCAATCCTCAGATAGCGTTGCTTCCTCTACATCCAGATGTCCGAGCAAAATTCAACAACACCGCTGCTTGGGAATATGCACGGAGCATGTCGGGCAAGCCATATGGCTATCACAACATGATATTCAGCTGGATTGATACTTTGGCCGATAACTACCCACCTCCTCTTGATGCTCACTTGGTAGTATACATATGTATATATATATATATATATATATATATATTTGAAGTCATCATCTTTTAAAAAAGGAAGAATTTTCTTAACCATTGCTATGTTTGAATGACAGCTAATTTCTGTCATGTCAATGTGGACTCGTGTACAACCAACATATGCCGCAAATATGTGGAACGAGGCCCTGAATAAACGACTCGGGACAGAGGTATAGCCATATATTCTTTCCGAAATCGTTGCTTCTAAAACTTGTGTGGGGGATAGAAAGCCCTAAACTTTTGGGGACGGAATCCCTTTTTCAGGGTCTGGATCTGTATGAGATTCTCGCGGAAACTGAGAGGCGGGGAATGACCTTTGACGAGTTACTCACCATCCCAGAAAGGGACGAGTGGGTGTACAGCGACGGGAAATCAACCACTTGCGTCGCATTCATCTTGCAAATGTACAAAGCGGCTGGTGTTTTTGGCCCTCTTGCCGACCATATCCAAGTCACTGAATTCACAGTGAGTTCGCCTAAAACCAAAAAAAAAATCTCGGGTTTTCCTGTCTCCTTGTTTTTTCCCCAACAGATTCACTGAAACCATGATTCTTGGCATTACTATTACCAGATCCGTGATGCGTATGCGCTTAGGATATACGAGGATAACCAGACCCGTCTGCCGAGTTGGTGCAACGACGAAGAGGGTAAGCTTCCGTTCTGTCAGATTCTTGGTGGATACAGGATGGAGCTACCTGGTTACAACTCCGTCGAACCTTATGCCAACATGAACGAGCATTGCCCGTCATTGCCTCCTGATTATGGGAGGCCGAGCAAATGCTGAAAGTTTCGAAATTTGCCATCATCTCCTCCAATGGACTCTCTCGCTCGCTCGTGTGTCGGTAATCTATATATGCTTATGAGTAGCTAGAGTGTCTTCCACGTTTATCTGTTCTGCGGTGGGAGAAACAGGAGCTTTGGTAAAAGCAAAGCTTCTTATGTTTGTACATATAGTGGATATATGCTTTTGAATATATATATATATATAAAAGGCTGATATTTATTATCTTTTGCCATTATGCAGCAGCACAACGTTGTTTTATGAATGCAATAGTTTTATTTGTTTTTAAAGATAAGAGTACATACAGTACATGTCGTCACATATATATATATATATATATATGCACCATTTGTGCTGTTTTTATGCTATTTTTTATATATATATATAAAAAAAGCAGCGTCTTTTTTTTGTAGGATTTTTCCAAAATTTTATAATTATATTCTGTCCTTGACCTTGTATTTTCTTGGTCGTTTTGGGATGAAAGGGTGAAATATTTGTATGTGGGTATGCTCGAGGATTAGCAATTAGGTTTAATGACGCCTTCACACAGCTCGTCAAAGACTGACGATTCAGAGGAAATACAAAAACCAAAAAGCTTGCAAACCATATATTAGAGACCACAACACAATCATCAAGAAGATGAAAGCATTCAGGGGCTAACCCTTATTCCAAAGGTTGATATTCCGACTCGACACGGCACGGATAGAAGCCAAACTGATACACGCACACACACAGGAACACAGCTGGTGGGACCCATTGGAGGGGTTAATAGCGAGGCGGTGGTCCACGCTTGCATCGGCTGTATATTGTGCATGGACTGTTAGGGGTTCCGCTCCCTCCCAACTTACTCGGCTCCTCTTCTGCGTCATACATCATATGCATACCACGTTAGCTATATATATGTGTGTGTGTGTGTGCATGTATGCATGCGGCTATCACTACAGAAAAAAGAAGAAGAAGAAAGAATATATAACGCAAATATGTTTATATGAAATACTCACTGAGTTTGCGGTGATTGAATAATTGATCGCCCAAGGCTTGGCCCATGGGGAGTGAAACCACAATAAGCAGAAGAAGTAGCAAAGAGATCGTGGACTTCGGCATATTTTCTTGCTTGTTTAAATGAGAAATTGAATATGTGCCTGTAACTGAACTCATGTATATGGCTTAAGGTATATATCTGCAAGTATATATATAGCTATATGGATCTTGTCTGCTGTCTACTGTTCTGTCTCATACGAAGACTTCTGTCTCATACGAAGACTTCCACGACAAATATATATATATATGAAAAGACTCGACGAGCAGACGTCACTGTTTGTGCCTTGCAAGTTGCAATTTAAATTCGATATATATATAATATTAAAACTTATAACCATATATTACGTACGTTTGAGTCATTGTTCAAATTGGACGCAAATAACAAAGTGCATTGACGGATCGCTCCCATCCCATATAGCACGCCGTATACTTCGCATGCCCACTATTATAGAATGGCCATTCCTTTATAATCTACATCTGTGTGCATGTATGTATGTATGTATGTGCGTGTATACTTACGAAACATGCGAAATAATCTGTTTCCTCTTTTAGTAAGCCAAATTAACATATTTATGCACAAAAGGATTTAAATCCTGTTAGAAAACTATAAACTAAATCATGTTCATCTATAAAACGCTGATAAGACAGAAATCATATTATTCATATAAGATTAGATATATATGTGTATATATGTATAATATATATTTACCATTAGATATTATGTAACATACGCATCCCGTTATGAGAACGATGTGATATATTGTCATCATTATAGCGTGCACTAAATGCGGTTTACTTTGTGGACCGTCGAATTGCGAGGAAAGTTAAACGGGCATGATGACACATATGCAATGACTCCGAATGACTACGAATACGTCCGAAAGCGGCTTCTCCGGAAATTTCCACGCCGTATTAAATCAGGATTGATACCCATTTTTATTTTATTTTTTTTAAAAAAGGTTATAGCTAATGGTTTTTCATATCGTATGTGGTTGACGACTAGGAGTCAATGATTTCTATGTGAAAATTAATGATTGGTCACTTCCGATTTGCTGTGTTTATGCCTTTCTGGTGATTGGAATCCATGAACTATATTTTTAGTACATTTGCGTTTGATCTCAAATACAAAACGCCTTATAGAGTTATGACTGAAGATCCAACTTAGATAATTCAAACGATAAAGTGGAGACGCAAAATATATGTTCCGTATAAAGAATATATATATAATTTAATGTTAATATGATTTGGTTAACTATACTTGTATAAATATCTTAATGTTGTTAATAATAATTAAACTATTTTTATAAACATCATATGCTATCAGAACTTCATATACGTTTTTTTATCTTCTAGAGGGTATATATTTATATTCTATCCCGAATTCGAACCTCATATTGGAGAGGGACCCATCTTATTTTCACTCCAGTGACTAATATGGGTTTCAACCCAAGATATTTGGCGTGGCGATTGATTGATGTGGTGGATCGTTCGTATATATTTCCACGCAGATGACACGCTGAAATTATATCAGAATGATATCTACTACTACCTACACTACAGACGAATTTAATTTATTAGAGCAAAAACAATACCGATAATATAAAAAATAAAAACTTTATAAAGCATACATGATTTTCTCTTTTGAAAAAAATATTATTTATGTTTGCTTACTATTATATTTAAAAAAAAAAGATGAATGGTAATTTTACCAGCTGGATGGCGCGGTTGGATAAGTAAAAGCAGTAATAATTCACGATTAATTAATATAAAAATATTTCCACCGGGGTGCGTGGGACCATCTGGTTTGATCTCTTGCTTTTTGCCAAACACATTCGGAAAACTATTAGGGGATATTATTAAATATTTTTTTTTAAAAAAAAGCTGAATTAGAGGACAAAGAGAGATTAGTTTAATGCAAGACAAAGCCATATTATGACATGTGGTGGAATTTATCCCATTCGACTCTAATCTATAAACCTTTTGTTGTAATCAACTTAAGCGCCCTTTCTATATTCCCCGACTCTATAACCAATATTTAATTCCGATTAAATCTCTCCCAAAATCTTCCCTAACCCGACGATGTTCGTATAAAGCAAAGCCATTTGCCCATGATTCGTTCCGACAATAAATATTTGAGAAAACCCCCTTTTGCCCTTCTCTCTCTCTCTCTCTAGCTCTTCCCACAAGGACCGACGATGGGTTTGTTTCCATGTTCTTGCCCTTTGCCTTGCAACAAAACCAGGGAATGTCAAAACAACTCAACACATCTTCAATCAGATTTTTCCACGTCGTCATCTCTCTCGTCTCAGCCGAGCCTGCCGTCAGTTCCGTCCCTGTCCTCTCCGTCGCAGAACCGTCACCATGATCATCAGTGCTTGGTCACTCTCAGAGGCCACTCCTCCTACGTGTCGTCCCTCGCCGTCTCCGGAAAATTCATCTACAGCGGATCTTCTGACGGAAAGATACTCGCATGGCCCCGAGAGCCACCGGAAAACATTGCCGGAGACAATACGGTTGCCGTGGGAAACGGAGCGGTTAAGGCGATGGTGGTTTTCAGGTATAAGCTGATAACCGCTCATCAAGATCACAAGATTAGGGTTTGGAAGATCGAAGAGAGAGATCCACCGCAGAAGTACAAATGCGTCGCCACTCTCCCGACAGCGAACGACCGTTTCACGAAGATTTTCAGCGGGAAGAACTACGTGGAAGTACGGAGACACAAGAAGTGCACGTGGGTTCACCACTTGGACACAGTCTCGTCTCTCGCCTTATCCAAGGACGGTTCTTTGCTATACTCAGCTTCTTGGGACAGAACCTTCAAGATCTGGAGAACGTCCGATTTCAGATGCTTGGAGTCAAAGGAAAAAGCTCATGAAGACGCCATTAACGCGGTCGTTGTGTCATGTGACGGATTCGTTTACACAGGCTCGGCCGATAAGAAGATCAAGGTGTGGAAGAAGCAGCCAAGAGAGAAACGACACAATCTGGTGGCTACCTTAGAGAAACATGTCTCGGCCGTTAACGCTTTGGCCATTAGCGAAGACGATACGGTTTTGTACTCGGGGGCTTGTGACAGATCGATTCTTGTGTGGGAGAGAAATAGGATCGACGACGAGCATATGGTCTTAGCCGGAGCTTTAAGAGGACACTCGAAGGCGATACTGTGTTTGGCGGTTGTTTCGGATTTGGTGTTCAGTGGATCGGCCGACAAGGCTATTAGGGTTTGGCGGCGAGGGACGGACAAGGGTTATTCTTGTTTGGCTGCCTTGGATGGACATAGCAAGCCTGTCAAGTGCTTGGCTGTGTCCCTTGGTTCTGATTCTGATGTTTCTTGTATGGTTTACAGTGGGAGTCTTGATCTTAGTGTTAAGGTTTGGAGAATTCGGATTCCGTTGCTTTAGATCATTGTTTTTTTTGTGTTTTTTCAGCAATCTTTAATGATGTTTTTACTTCATCTCTGTCAGTAAACGCGAGGTTACGAATTGTACATATACAAACTGGTGTCTGTCTGTTGTATACGTATATAAGTGTTGTTACAATACTGTCTGATCGTATACTTGTCACAATACGTTTGTATTGGAACCGTAACGATGAAGAGACAATTTGGAAGGAGCAGAAGTTTCCAGTTCATAATATCTCGCCAGCAAAAAATATCACACTCATAGGAAACCAAATCCAACTTAAAGGAAAAGTGTAGAAGTGGTCCCTCGCATATATATATATATATATATACACACACAATTATCTATTTATTGTATTTATAGTATATAAACTATAACAATTTATTTTATTCGGTTAGATAGATTCGTCGTATGAGAAAAGAATAAGACAACAAGAAACCCTTGACTACATTAGATATTGGGTCTATATCCGAACGTAAATAATATAATCGGAATACCACATAAGTCAAATTGACCACAGACAGACGATAAAGTAGAAGTAATTAGGTGTAAAGGCTATTAATTTGTTTGCTAATTCCATTTAATTAATGAACATTGATTAGTATGTAGTTATATATTTTGCACATTTAGAGATGTGAAACCATGCAGGAAAATATCACTTTCTGGATAAACCGACCATACTTGTAAAGTGAACTGTACGTGGCATAATATTAATATATACGCCATCCACATACATATAATATAATATAATATACTTGTATCTTAAATAAGCAAATTCCGCATGAAGAGTAGGGTATTCTCGTAAATATTCAAAACCTAGAGACTTGAAAGGCAGAACGTTTAAAAAGGGCAAAAGCGAGAATTGAAAACCTCCGATAGGGCCAGAGGGTCACCTTTGTCTCGTCGGCCCACCTGCTTTTGTTCTCCTTTCGATCCCCTCTCACATTCCGTCGCTACCGCCTTCGCCCTCGTCGATCGCCGGCGTCAACCTTCGCCGTCCCGATCTATCCGGTTATTTTCCGATTTCTCTCTTCAGAAAAATTTCCTGGTACCTTTCGCAACATCTCCGTGAATTTAGACCTCTTGATTTTACGTTCTCGAGAAAACACCCCCTTCTTTGCGATTCGAAGTGAGGTTCAGCTCCTTACAGTTAGGTTTTCGAGGCGGAAGGATTGATACCTCTTGTCACTATTGATTACCTTGTGTAAGTGAGCGAGAATTTGCCTCCAGTTGATCGCCTAGGGTTTTTTTCCTTAGTTCCTCAATGTCAGAAGCTTCTCGGCGGAGTAGGGTCACCATTACTTTGGGACGTAGCGGCCAGGTAGTTCCCCCCCCCCCCCCCCCCTGCGAGTTTTCTTTGTTCGTCTCATAGTTTGTACCTGAGTATTTTCCTGGAAAGAGGAACGTGTTGACCTCCTGCTTCCGAAATATTTGCGATGCTGCGGCGGTACATTGTTGTAACGGTGCTTTCGTGATGCTCTAGTTTCAGGGATGACTTGAGAAGCCAAGACATGATTCTATACCAACGTTTATGGATTCTTTATGTTTAAATTCGTAGGAATATGTGGAACATTTTGTTCTTCAATCTCTTGTCGTAGGATTAATGAGTTAGTTCTAGAAAATTGCTTATGTTTGATGTTCTTTTCCCAGGTAATAAAGAGGGCAGGACCAGAATTAGGTGACACTGGCAATTCGTATGAGCTGCCTAGAGCCGGGATGAAGAGGCCTGTAAGAGAGAGACTAGGAAGTGGATTCGATAGTTCTTCTTTGCAGGGAAGTGAAGTCAGCAATAAACGGCCCCCCCCCCCCCAATGTTTTGCTGGGTGTTGAATTTTAGCAGCTTCTCATTTTGTGATTTCATTCGTAATCACAAAATCTAGATTGTTTTGTTGTCCATGGGTTTTAGAGAGACGGATATTGAGGGATGAACTAATGGCATTTTAGGTTTGTAGGTCGCTTATTTGATTGCTGTTAGGCTGAGCATGTGCTGACATAAAGTTGTGTATTCGTGGTATGCAGGCAAAGGGGTGAAGCAAGTCTCAGTGCTCATGGTATGGAGGTAGTTTATTTAGGTACCTTGGCCTGTCAACGATTACTGACACGGCACCTTCTCGTATTAAGGTTTGCAGGTTGATAAAGGCGATCTCCGATTCAAACTGATGCAAAAAAATGCCCAGAGAGGAGCTCAGAGAGATGAATGCAGCACTATGGATCTTCGTGCGAAGCTCTCCAGGAGCGAGCAGCAGCCTCCGCGTAGTGTTGATACTCGACATCGTATGGCTGAGCCCAGGAACGTAAGTGGTCAGGGCCAGTTACCTCCGTCAAGAACTGCACACAGTTTCTCTCGGATGGGCTCCACAAGCAATTCCCACTCTCCCTGGACCTTGGACCATATACGACGGAGGTCTCCAGAGAGGTTAATGGGTACACCCAGGGGTCTATCACCACCACCACCACCAAGGAATGCCAATCTCTTTCCTCTTTTAGTAAGCCAAATTAACATATTTATGCACAAAAGGATTTAAATCCTGTTAGAAAACTATAAACTAAATCATGTTCATCTATAAAACGCTGATAAGACAGAAATCATATTATTCATATAAGATTAGATATATATGTGTATATATGTATAATATATATTTACCATTAGATATTATGTAACATACGCAATGCCGGAACCTACACGGGTTTGTCCAGGGTTTCTTCGCCACCTAGGGGCATTGAAGAGTTTCGTGGACGGCCCTTAAGCAGGGCATTTGATGATGTGAGAGCATCACCATATACAGTCAAAAGTGCACCAAATGCTCAACCACCAGTAAATAATACTCCTTTCACACCAAGGATGGCTTTACCTCCTCCGGCTGTCAAGCCTCCACTGCCTGCATTTTCGGGCCGGATTCCTCCACCTGGCACTGCTGTTCAGAAGGACCCCTTCACTGTATGCTTTAGATCCTCTCGTTTTATTTATATGTTTTCGTGTGCCTGCCTGTGCAATGTGTGCATGAGATTTCCTTCTACCCGTTCTTTCTTTGCCCAATTCTTTGGAAACTATAATATGGCCTTTGTGTTCTGCTTCAAATCGATTAGAACTCCTGGACAGAAAATCTCGGTAGATTGGGCAATTGTAGTTTTTGCATACGTTGATATAATATTATTAATCTGTCCCACTTGTCTTGCTTGTTGTCTGCGCAGGCGGAGGAGCATCAAACAGTTGATGACCTTTTAAATTCTCTTGGACTGGGAAAATATGCTGTTCTCTTTAAGGCCGAGGAAGTAAGTAGAGTGTTCTTTCATCGGTCTTTAAAGCGTCATTAGGCTTTCCGCTAGTTTACCCGTCTTCTTCCAGATGATAATAAAACAATACATCTACATTTCCAAATGCAATGAAGAAACAATGATAGATAAAGGGGAATTACCAATGAATCTAACCAATTCATTTGTTTCTTTCATCTTTGTCATGGTTCAGGTGGATATGACGGCGTTAAAGCAGATGAAGGAAAGTGATCTGAAGGATCTTACCATACCGATGGTACTGAATCATGAAAACAGCCCTTAATCCGATTTCTTGGAGCTTTCTGGAACTTGTTTTGTGATTTATTGTTATTTGTTCGATGCAGGGACCAAGGAAGAAAATACTTCAGGCTCTAGCCCCACGTCCCAAACGGCCATGAAGCTCTTCAGGTAAATCATTCCCCCCTTGTTTTGTATCGGTCGGGGCAGCACTTTCTGAGATTTGAGATTTGTTAGTAAGTTGTGACTGGTGGTGTCGTTGCTAATCAGAACTATAATGTTGTGAAGCAGTAACCCTTTTGTCTTATATCGTATGAATTTTGTATTTCACAAGTGGCAATTTTGGCTCTGTTTATGAAATGCGTATTTTTTTTTTGTTTTTTATTTGGAATTTGACCTAATGGGTGTTTTTTGTAACGTATTTATTTCTTAATTTATCCGAATATTTTGAAGCTGGGCCTCGTGCGAATGAATCCATCCAGGGATTTGGTAAAGATTACTTAATTAATACAACATGATTACGGCCCTCTGATTGTAATAATGATCAAAATGCGGCCTCGTTGGAGCGAGGGGATCAAGTGTTGTAAAATAATAATCAAATCTTTTGGACCGTCTTTGGAGATGGTCCCTCTTTTGTCCGTCAGCCACCCACCAAAATTCGTAAATTCAAATCAGATTATCACCTCATTATAATTTAAATATTTATTAACCTTCCCGATTTTATTTCGGATTTTTACTCACACTTTTACAGCAACCGCCAAATATACAGAATATGTTTTATTCCAAATAATTCGAATCATATCTAGACGAAATCCTATTTAATACTACTTCATGTGATATTCAGTTTCCATAAAATAGATATACACGCTGAGAGAGCAAATATTTTGTTTTGTTATATTGTAAGAATAATCAGGAACAAATAATTGAATTATGGTATTGATTTAATTAAAATTCATCGCACCTATGACGGCGTTGGTCAGCTCTGACTGGAAAACCGTTAATTATCTTACCAAAACCTTTTTATTTAATAATTAAACAAGATTAATATGTTATTAAAAATAGTATCATATAATATAATAATTGACAGCTCATATTAATTAAAATCATTGTTTTTCTGTTTTTAAATTTTAATGCTCTCTTTCAAGTTGCTTGCTGAGGCCAAAGTCCACCTCACCGTAGCTTTCAAATGCGCAAGTTTGATATCAACGCTTGCATTTGCCGTCTTGCGCCATGTGCGTAATACGCACCCCCAAAGAAACTAAAACATCAAACAACCTGCGGCGTGGAAAACACCGTCTCACGGGGTGTGCACTACGCACCGCGGTACACGTTATCCCAAGCCATTACGGTTTTAAAATTCTTATTTCTACTAAATTAACTCAGAAGCGAAACGATTTCTTTCATTCCGTTTCCCCTCCAATTTCTCATTCTCCAGTCTCTCTTTCTCTCTCCCGGGGTCTCCGGCTCGGAGAGAGAGGTCTGGTAGGGTCGCTGTCCTCTCGGGCCATATAGGGTTTCGCTGCTGCTCGCTGTGTTTTCTTCCAGAAGGGAACTTTCCGGGAAAGTTTGCAGTTTTGAAGGAAGGATCGAGAAGATTCTCCTCCCGGTTCGCTGGCGTCTGGAAATTTGGAGATTCTTTCAGTGAAGCGGGTTTTCTAGCGTTTCAAGGAAGGGAGACCTAAGGGCCTTTGAAGAGAGAATGCCAGTTAACAGATCCAAGTCTGAGAAGAAAGATGGCGAGGGGCAGCTCCGTCGTGACCCCTACGAGGTTCTCGGCCTCCCCAGGAACTGTACCGATCAGGAAATCAAGAGCGCCTACCGGAAAATGGCTCTCAAGTAAGCTATTGATCTCTGTAGTTCTACGTACCTCTGTTCGTCTCGCTAGCTTGACCCTTTGGTGTGAATTGTTTGTTTGTGTTGATATAGACCTATTAAATCACGGCAAATCGTGTTAGTTTGCAAATCCCTTGGAGGGTTGTTTCATTTCAAATCTGGGCGAAGAAATACAGTGAAGAAATACCTAGGCTTTTCCTGTATTTTGGTTGAATCTTGTCGACCGACTTATGATGGTGTTCATGGAGAGAATTTGCCTGAAGTATATCTATCATGGGAAACACTCTAAACTGAGCCTGGGTTCTGTAATTTCTAGCGGGCAGCAGTCTAGGCCGATTCTCTTTCGAGATGAATGATGAAACTTCCTCCGAAGAATTCCATCCTCTGCTGTGGTGTCTCTGAATTTTTGTTATTTCAGGTACCATCCTGACAAGAATGCGAATGACCCAGTTGCTGCTGACATGTTTAAGGAGGTAACTTTTTCCTACAACATCTTGTCTGATCCAGAAAAACGACGCCAGTATGATACTGCTGGTTTTGAGGTGAGATATGTTTGCTCCGTGTTAGGCTTCTGGTTTTAACTTTGAGTCCCCGACATGGGTTTGTAGTTATGTCTGTTTATTGGTTGCTAATCACTGAATTTTGCTATTTACAGGCTGTTGAAGCAGAAAGCCAAGAGCTGGAGCTCGATCTCTCAAGTCTAGGAGCTGTGAACACTGTTTTTGCAGCTCTGTTTAGGTTGGTTTGCATTCAGTAACTTTTGATTGTTCCTGTAACTTTTATGAGAGCTGGCTGTCATTTTATTGTACACGAGATGGAACTTATAATCTAAATTACTATGAAATAGCAAACTTGGTGTGCCAATAAAAACCACCGTATCTGCAACTGTCTTGGAAGAGGCGCTTAATGGCAGAGTCTCGATTGATCCTCTTGTAATTGGGCAAGCTGTATCTAGGAAGGTGAGGTATTGAAGCCGATGCCCGGCTACTATTTTATTTGATCGTGTAGTTTTACTTGCCTCTAATTCATTCTCTTATAAACAATGCCTCTTACAGGTTGAAAAGCAATGCACCCACTTTTATTCTGTCACGATAACAGAAGAGGAAGCAAGGTCTGGTTTAGTCTGCCGGGTGGAATCATCTAACAAAAGCAAGTTCAAGGTTTGGTTGGTAGAAGATAGAACCTTTCCTTATCAAAGTAAATCGATGTACTGATGAAATAGATTTTATGTGTGTCCCTTTGTATGCAGTTACTGTATTTTGACCAAGAAGACAACGGAGGATTGAGTTTGGCCCTGCAGGTATTGTTGTTATTACTCGGAGAGACATATACGCTTCTACCTTTTACTTTTCTGATGTTAGTGGAATGAAAGCATGTGTATCGTTACCTGTCGTTAACATTGAGTTTTTCATCGATACAGGAAGACAGCAGAAAGACAGGCAAGTTAACATCTGCCGGAATGTACTTTCTTGGTTTTCCTGTCTATTGGTTGGATCAAACTGTCAATTCGGTAAGTTCAGTATATTGTAGATATATATGTATATGTGTGTGTGTGTGAGTTTTTGTCAAGTTCACTATATTGTAAATATATATATTGAGAATTATCCTCAATAATTTCTTTCTTGTTGCCCTTTTCTTCTTTTTTCCCCAACATGACTTGATTTTTCTGGATTTAGATGGCTCAATCAAAGGATCCGGAATCTGCCTTTTTCAAGAAACTTGATGGATTTCAGCCTTGTGAAGTTACCCAACTCAAGGCTGGTACTCATGTCTTTGCTGTTTATGGTCAGTTTTCCCAGCTTCGGTTCCAGCTGCAGATTCGTTTTCGTTTTCCGTTTTTTTTTACTTCTGGATCATGTACTTGAGATGATTCAATGTTGTGGGGTATTGCATGATGTTCTTTAACAGGTGATAATTTTTTCAAAAGTGTAAACTACACGATCGAAGTTCTATGCACTGCCCATTTTACACAACAAAAGGAAGATCTGAGGTCCATAGAAGATGAGATTCTCACAAAAAGGGCAGAACTGGCCAAGTTTGAGACTGAGTACAGGGAAGTACTTGCCCAGTTCACAGAGATGACAAGTAGATATGCTCAAGAGATGCAATCTGTAAGTCTCTTTTTATTTGAAAATTCAATTCAGCTATGCTTAAGAGAAGAAGAGAGGGATCCCCATTTGAGCAAAATGCAAGTTTTTAACTGGGTTTGATGAATATGGTTATCTTTTTCTACAGATCGATGAGCTCTTGAAGCAAAGAAATGAAATACATGCAGCTTACACTACTGTGGAAAGGAGGTTGAGCAAGACCAAGAGCAGAAGGAACTCTTTCAAGAAGGAGAATCCACCATCAGCTAGAGAAGAGGAGGGAGAAGATGAGGAAGAAGAAGAAGAGAGAAGCAGAGACAAGAACAAGGAAACAGGTACATGTGAAGAATCCGACATAGTTAAGAAGAAAAGATGGTATAATTTACACTTGAAAGTGAACAAGAAAAAGCATTGCTAAGATTTATTTCCCCTACGCGTTTTTTTAATTCTTTTCCACTCTATCACAACTTGCCCTCTTCCCTTCTAAAAAATTCTTGAATTTCCCCTTCTCTTCTTCCCTTTGAGGTCGGTCCATTTGTAAATATGCCTCTGCCTCTTATTTTCTTCATATTATTATTGAAAATGAAAAAAAGAAAGATAATTACTTATTCATCCATGATTTCTGCTCCAAATCATTGATTCCCCTTTCGTCTCCAACGAACTTGACAATGTGGTTGGTTATATAATCTCTTGACAAAAAAAAAAGTCTCAAGCTTTTGTTAATGATCACATTCGAAGCTTGAGCTCGTCTCTGTCAATAAACCGGTCAAGGAGATGTTTATCTTTCAGGACCAAGCAATCCTCAGCTTTTCCGAACCATTTGTAACGACGTCTCGCCACATAGTCATAAACTGCGTCCCTCAGAGGCCTCGGAACCACCACGAGGCTGCTCACAGCGGAATATGGCAGTGGCAAGTATGATACTACTCGCAATGCAGCTGCAGTTCAGTTAACATGAAAATGTCTGAAAAGGGTCAATGTCTTTCAATGATTCTTGCTACTATACTGTATAGAAAACTTGCATTAGAAACGGCACAAGGCATTAGATTGTTTCCTTTCACAAAACCCTATTGAACTACCACGAAAATCTGATACCGCTCGGCGAATAAGTCTATTAAAAGATCACTGAGAATGCTTTGATTCATCCTGGAATCAAAACAAGTTTCTAAATTTCCTGTCATTTTGCTTTCTTTTTCTCCACTTGTGAGACCCAGTTACATTAGGCCTTTGATGCATCTACGGTCGAGCAATCAAGGGTATTTCAGAAAAAACCCGACCTTTAACAGCTGTGTCGAGAGAGTTTAACATACCGGTGGATGCCTGATGGTATAACCCGAGACCTTCAACGAAAAGAAATCTCTTTGCGACATCCTCCCGGGTGAGACCACTGAAACTCAGATAGGGCTCCGCAGCTATTGACTGAAGGCAACAGAACTTGATCTTTCTGTATTTATCTGCTTTAATCACCCACTTCACACCTACACATGCACAAGCATTGAACATTTCCTTCAGAGATATTGCTCTAAACAATGAATTGAAACCACTAAGAAGAAACAATAGGCTGCAGGCTTTGATCCTTAGAGAACTCTTAACTCTTAATGCTATTACATGTGATTGAAAGAAACCTGCACTTCTGTTCCAAGACAAGTCATATTCTCTAGAATAATAACTCAAATCCATGTCGACCACTATGATTAAGAAAAAAGAATCCGAAAACCTGATATTTTTTTCTTCTCAGAAATCTCTGGAAAAATGGCTCCAACCCATGTTAATCAATGCCATAGAGAAAACAAAGAATCCCTAAAACCTGCAATTTTTCTCTTCTCAAATTCTCAGGATCAATGACTTCAATCCCTGTTTGCTGTTTCAGAACCTCTTTGGGAATATACAATCAGAAACATCACCGCGCAGTGAGCAGAAACCATCTCTAGAGACTAAACATCTCAGACAAAATTGCGACAAAGATTTCATGCGGCTAATAGCAAGTGCATTGAGAAACAGAGAAGCAATGTATATAGTATGTACACCTCCATGACAGAGAGGGCAGACTCCGTCGTAGATGACGACACGAGGCTGAAGGACGTTGGGCAACGTCTCCGCCATAGTCGGCGACCCAGTCGTGGCCGAGAAACCCACATCACCATCAACAGGAATCTCCGACACATCAGCCGTCGTGCCGGAAAAAAACACCGCCGATGACGGGAACGATCGGAAAAGGAGAGGATCGCCCAGAGTAAACCTGGGTTTCAACTGTCGAAGCGCCCTCGTCAACATTCTGGAAATCGATTTGGCATATTGTTTTCTTCAAAAAAAAATTCCTGGTGGCTTTTCCGCAGGAAAATTTTTTCTCGAGAAACAAACAGGGAGGAGGAATAAAAAAAAAAAGAGTACGCTTGAGCCCCAAGTCGGCGAAATGTTCAAAGCCGAAGCGCGAGCGAGATCCGCTTACAAACGAGCCCACCATATTAAGCAAATAATTAATTACTGATTAAATATAATTATCGTCTAATTACTATAATATAACCATATTACGAAAATGGGCCTCATAGAAACTTCCAGCTCGAAACAGAACAAATAGGCCCATCAAGTTACGCCATTTTAGTCCAAGCCTACTTGATTGAAAAGTGAAAACCCACGTGCGTGAAATATTTGATGTTAGGAAAAAGATGGGTTGGTATTTAGTATTTACTCGTAATTCATTTGAAGCGTCAGTGGATTAAATTAATTTACACTCGGAATAGATTATTTGCATTTTAGAAGAAAAAAAAATCATATATTTTTATATTATATTCAATTCACCTCAGATCCGGATTCGATCCTATCTTCATTTTTATTGATAAAGATAATTCTTTTAAAAAAACTCAATTTTAAAAATTATAGCAATTCGATTTTTATATCAACTTCTATTCAATTATAATTTGAATTATTCGATTAAGATCGATTCTGTTATTTAACCAAATAAGTAAAATACTGTAGTGTAGTGTTTCGAAAATAACAACCTTTTTATTTTGGTTTAATGAAAATAACAACCTTTATTCTATGAAAGAATGAGAAAACGCAAAGATTATATAATGCGATCGAACAACCGGAATAAAAAGAGAGACTAGCAATGACCAGTCAGTCAGGTTCTGTCTGTTCGGAGTGCAAATCCAGCCTTCATCCTCATTCATTGTCCGAGAATTCTCTCCATGTTTCTCTTGGCCTTTCTCAAATTTCTTGGATGTGTCTGGTTTCACTGCAAAAGAACAGATGAAAGGTTAGTTCAAGATTAGTTCTCTAAACCCAAAAACGAGAGTAATTCTTTCGGTATATACATACACGTACACAACCTTCAATCCTCTTGAACTTGACCTTCTGCAGATAAAGTGGACAAGATTCTGTTAACATGAGCATTATGCATCCTCAAAATCAAATGCAGAGAGAAGGGAAACGGTTTCAGATGACTAACCACCGAGACGGGCAGCTAAGTTTGCCTGAGCATCTGCATCCGAGTTGTATTCCTTCATGGAAATTTCACAATGTCAGAAACCCGGAATTCGACCGAAGACAGTGGAAGGATCTTGCTCTCAAGAACAATTGATCTTTGAGGAATTATGTACATTATTGCATGTGTATAGAGAAAGATATGTGTTCATACCCTTAAGACATGACTGATCTCAAAGGAGATACATTTGTTGCTAAGTTCCTTTGCTTCCTTGAACAGCTCAGACAGTGTCTGGTGTTTTACCTTCCATAGACCTTGCATCTGTTTTCCAACATATAAAGCTATAAGATAATGAGATAGAACAATGCGAGTTCAAACAAAAAAAAAAATTAACTGTGGTAACTGATAATTTATTTACCCAACCTGCATGCAAACCAGCTTGGAGTCACCTTTGACACGAATGTTCTTGTAACCTTTTTCAACAGCATACTTCAATCCTAAGATCATTCCATGATACTCTGCTGCATTGTTTGTCGCTATTCCCAATCCTTGACGCAGCTTGCAAATCTGTTTGAGAGAACGGTTTTTAGATACGGCTTCTTAAATTTTCACTTATAATCCAAGATCTGATGATTCATATACCAAGCTTCCATCCTCTGTCCTCAGCACAGCTGCTGCTCCAGACAGACCAGGATTTCCTTTTGACGCACCATCGAACTCGATAAGGCATGTTGGCTGTTATCGGTAAAGGAAAATAGACACAGGACGCTAAATCAGAAGATCATTGCATTCACTCAAATCCACAATGAGCAATGTTTTATGGAAAATTTATTCACCTCAGAAGCTGCAACCTGAGTCTCAGTAGCTGGTTCTATCTTCATTGGCATTTCCAAAGGATCAACTGGCACGGAAGCTGAAGGAAGTTTATCCTGCGAAAAATCAATAATCTGATTAAGAAAAATCTAAATATTTTGCTTCATAACCATCAAGTGTTCCGTTATTTCGTTGAACAGCAATGTCCAGGTCGAAAATTCCCTTAATTACAACTTACCTTTTCCTTGTTTTCGGTTAAATCTTGAGACTTCGTCGCAGCGGCAGATGTACTCTCCTCAGATATTTTGACATTAGAAGAAGTCGGTTCCTGAGAGGAGAAATATGTAAGAGAAGGTAACAAGAGCCCACCTGACTGAAATACCACATCTAGAAGATAAAAGACAAAAACCCTCTACGTAAAAGACTTTATGAAAAAAATGGAGTCCAAAACCGATACAATTCCCTGATACCCTCGAACTATGGATTTTTCAAGATACTAAACAAACCAAATATAAGCAAGATGAGGAGAGAAAATCGAAAACATAATGTGCATATCGTTCTTACATCAATTACAAACAATAGGAAGAGAACAGAAACCATCTTACCTGGAAAAGACACGGTGTAAGTTCGCCAAACATATCATCCTGCAGATCTGAAACTCTGATTGTGTAAAGTGGGTTCTTCAGTCCGAAACAAGAAAGACGTCCCTCCGCATCCTTAGGCATAGAGTACCCTTTATAGACACTGACAGGATGATCATAAACCTAACCAAGAAAACAACATCAATTCAATCGTATACCCAATCTCGGTAGTACATAGAACAGGAACTCTGATCTAAGAGATGTCTGCATATTCACCGATGATCCAACTTGAGCTTGACAATCACTCAGATTCTTGTAAATTCCAACGATGTCACCCTTCCGAACAACGTAAAAGGCGTCCTTCTCTTTATCCGCCGCAACAGGAACAGTGTCGGTCTTTCCTGATTGACCAGCCTTCCTTCTAGTGGAATAACAATGAACCCTAGACTGGTGAGGCCGAAACCCTAAACATGACATGCTAACACGAGCAGGATTGAAATCGCTTCTCCATGGCCGACAGCAACATTGGTTCCACGACGTCACCTGGCTCGACCTCTTACGTATTGCCACAGAAATGTATGAACGTACATGGGACAGGCAGCTCATTACACTATCTATATATAGGTATCTGAAAGCAAAGGACATATATATTAAAACAAGAGCGTGTATAGATTATGAAATGAGACATTCCCAGTTCAAAGATCTGACGACTGATTTCATATTCCATACAATGAAGTCAATCGGAACATAATTAAACCCCAAATGTCAAAAATTCATTCCACTTTGCGGATAAATCTACGCGATTTCCCGCGAATCCGTGACAGAACAAGAAATTCGGAGGATATATTCAAGATTAAACAGAAATTCCATAAGGTCAAATTCGAAAACACAGTAACGATCTAAAGGGTCAAAATTTCATCTCACCTTGCTTATCTCTCTCTCTCTCTCTCTCTCTCTCTCTCTCTGCTCAATGGGAGCTGAGGAAATGGACGTGAGGTGAGCACTTTCTCTGCGGCAGGAGAAGGAGAAGAGGAGGAAGATGAACTCAGCTGAGGGTTTAAGGCAGGTTTTTTGTCGGCCTCGGGTGGGTTGTCTCTAGAATTCGGGTCGGATATTAATGGGCACTTGCTGGGTTTTCCCCCAATTTCAGTGAATCACCCGACCCAATGATTTTGGAATTTACACCCCCGCACTTATTTTTTCATGTTACTATGAACTCGTAATTCTCCGATTCAATTTTTTTCACACTTGGTTGGAAAACAAAAATAAATGCAATAGAAAATAGCAACAATGGTGTCGTGGTGTAGTTGGTTATCACGTCAGTCTAACACACTGAAGGTCTCCGGTTCGAGTCCGGGCGACGCCAATTGGATCCCTTTTTACTTTTTAGTTTATAAAATAACGCCTTCAACCGGCCTCATGTTGGCCCATTTAAGTATATAGAGAATGGTCCGTTGCATTTAATAGCATCTGTGTAACTTTGGTAAATTTCATTTCATTGCCATAAAAAAAAAAAGGAAAAAAGAAAATATTCTAACGGGCCACTTAAAAATGATTTAACAAACCTACTAAACTAATTAGGCCTTCTGAATGGGTCAGATAACGTGATCTATCAATCAGAAAGCATGGCCCAAAGGCTTCCTCACGAGACCCCATAATGACCATAGTAAGTAACATATCCTATTGTCCGCGTGAAACAATAAAGACTATTGTCCGCGTGATACATGGGAAAATAATATTACTTCGGATTAACATATACTTATATAATATATGTGTATATTTATATATATATATATATATATATAAGATCTACTTATTTGCATATTATTTAAAGGCGGTACACGAAATACCTAAATCATAAAACTTTTTTAATTTGGAAAATTTTATGGATCAGGGCAATGTCAGTCTCTCAACCCTTGTACCTAACTAGCTTAAGAGAGATGGGGACTTTTCCACATTAAAAGGGAGAAAAAAAATGTCAACATGGGTCGGTTTATCTGTGGGTATCTCTCTTTAATAAGATCAAGCATTAGAGATATAAATTATAATCCGACCAGGCACACAAAGGCCAAGGCTCTCTGTAAAACCAGTCTTAACAGAACCATATCCCTTGCAACTCAAACTCTAATAATCTGATGCGGATTCTGGATTAGTAGGCTACATACCCTTTTTGGCCAGCTCCATCACCTGTGCTCAACCAAGGCGTTGCATCCTTTGTCTCTCCAGCTCAAGCTGTGTTGGAAAACGGCGCATTAGCAACAAAATCCATGGATCGATTTACAGATATATACATATACATATATGTACTCGGTGTGATTGGCACCTACCACTTTCCTGACTCGATTATTGGCAGCAGCAGTTCCTCCTTGGACGCAGTCGGGAAGATATGGGCTACGAACTCGCACTTCTTTCATCACCACAATGTCTGATTTGTCCCACTGCACAGGGAGCCTGAGAAACCAGAAGCTCATGTCATTCCTTTGAAAAGATTTTCAGTTCCATTCCCTTTCTACTTTTACTAATCGACATAAAAACAATATCTGTCATATCAGGACCCCAAATCCTATCGCAAGGAAAGCTTAACATTCTTGACAGCAAAACTCGCAAACATATGTAGACGAAACCTTGCCTAATTTGACCTAAACGAACCTGTAATGAACGATAAAGCAAAGTTTTTTTTTTTCCTGGATACTTTCTTATGAAAACCTTACTCAAACACCATCTCATAAAGTTCTTTCAGCGAAACCAATCCCATAAAAGAGTACCTTAGCAGAAAAATCCTCTTGCCAGGATTCCGGTTTCACTCGTCTTAAAGCCACTCAGCAGCAACAATGTACTCATAAAAACAACCATTTCGAGTAACGATAAAGACTACTTGGCCACAGAGCATATCAAATTATCAATTGCCTCCAAACCATACATGATACAGTGAGAAAGTTGGGCATATCAATATTACGCTAAATCACTTCGAGAAATCTCGAGTTTATCCTGATAAATAATGCAAAAGAAAGTCGAAGCAAGGTCCTTTAAAAGCTGGATACACAATGCCCGTTTGCTAAGAAAAAAACTAGAAACTGAACTAAAAAAACGTATGGTTAAGATCTCATACCCATCCCATTTCTACTAGCAAAAGGACAACAATCACACATTCTGACAAAAGCTATTGAAGAGTCACAGGAACTAAAAAATCTGTACCCATTCCAAACCCTGATCAAGCGAGGGCAAGCCAGGTTTAAACCATAACAAAATTCGGCTATTGGCTCATGTCCAACAATATAATCATGAAACAAGCAACATTCATCTGGCGATACACAGTAATTGTTAGAGTCAATTCAATTTTTTTCAGGGCAATAAGATTCTTACGTCTTAGACAATGCATCAAAGATGCTCTGCGCCTCTGTGGTGACTCCCACACCCATCCTCTCGGCATCTAATTCCGCTTGCCTGCAAGAGAAGTTTCCCAATGAGCTGGAAGATACGAGAAAAATGCATGATTCAAAAAGAAAATGGAATGGAAACATTATCAGAATAAAGATCACCTGACGGCGTTTGCCTCTTTGGATTGAAGTCCGGCGAGATCAACAGAACATTGGCTGGTAACAAGCGGATCCTCGGATCGACCCAGATAAGTGAATTCGGTAATGAAATTAGCATTCACCATCCGAGTGCTCTTCGAATGCCCAGGTTTAGGTTTCAAACCCTCTTGTAAACCAAAAAGACCGTCAAGGATATCGCAATTAAGGCAAGGGAAAAACCCTAAATCTCCCGCTAAAACGAACCCTATAGTTCACTCGAAAACGACGATGAGAAAAGTAGCAGAAACAAAAAAAACAACGAACGGCGAAGAAATTCGAAGGATATCAAAAACGACGAAGTTGGGATTGGGGTCATACGCCATGACGATCCCCTGGAACTCATCACCGGTGACCACCTTGACGGAGTAAACGTTCCCGACGGAGAACTTCTCGCCTTCTCCGCCGGCGATGTTGTTAGTCACCGGTGCTCCTGCTGGATCCATAGCGACCCCTCCTAGCTTGTCGCCGGTTTCCGAGTCGCGGTCTCAAAACGCCGAGGGTACGGCGAAATTTTCAAGGTACATAATAATATTACTATCACTATTAGGCTGTTTGCGGTCAAACATGGACTTCGGCCCTGTCTATTTAAATGGGCCTATAAGCAATTATATTAATGGGCCTATTATATTTGGGTTGAATAATTTGTTCAGTCCAAATTGCCCCAATATGTGGACTATCCAACGCTTTAACGGAAACTAAACTCCGTTCGGTGAATTTACAAAATTACCCCTACTTCTTTTTGCGTGTGTATACGATACATATATGACGTCCATATAAAACGGAAAGAATTTCATGCAAAGTTGTGTGTATGATATATATATATATATATATATATATCTCAAATCATTAGTGCCCAATAAATTTTTTCGCCCCTGTAAAAAAAAAGGTCTTTTGATCGTTCGTATTTTTTTCTGCAATACGAAAATGCATCGTTAAGTGTTCACGATTTTTTTTCGATAACCGAGTATCTAAACCAAAATCCAAACTAATTTTAGAGTTAAAAATTAATCATACGATTTGAAATATATGTTGTATCTTCAAACTCGAGACGGAACAAACGTTTTGCATCCTCGTTCCATCGGTCAAACTTGAGGTCACAAATAATATTGGTATTTACGGTAAAACTAAACCATGGTAATCACACGAGGCCTTCGACATTTAACGAAGGATTTATTCACATTATATGCTTACAACTTATGATGAGAAATCTCCATAGCATAAAACATCATATGGAAAAACTCTCTAGACATATACAGCCAAAGACATATTTATGGGATTGCCTTTCGGACCAAAAAGCCTACATCGGCAAAACACCATTTAGACTTATAAACATACACAATTTATAAATAAAAAATATTTTTATTACACACAAAAAAAAAATACTCTTTTTTTTTTTCTGGTGCGTGATTCCATTGCGTTCAGACTTGACTGTCTTCTTCACCGTGACGAAGGAGTGGGACCTTGTGTTCTTCGTTGTAATGAATTGCTTTGGTACATTTAGTCTCTTTCCTTGGCTTTTGTTTCTCTTCGGCTTCTTTCATTTGCCCCCACGTCACTGTGAAATACCCGACTCCTCCTATTGCGGCTCCCAACACGCTGCAATCGCCATATATTTACCGACACTTGGATTAAAATTCATTGAAATTTCATTTCTATAACGTTATAATATGTGTAATTATCCCTTACAATATAATGAATATTTAATTCGACTGACCTCCCATAGTGGAGGCTGTTGACGAAGAAGCTGGTCCCAAAAAGAGAGGCCCAGAAGATACCAAAGGGCTTGAATAACGGCACGTAAAACGGTCCCTTCATTTGGGCGCACTTCACTTGCACACTTGTACGTACCACACTCCCGAATATTCCCTACGTAATTTATATGTTTCCCATGCAAATGTACGTGCATGAACACCCTTTAATAACTCTCCACTTTATTTTTCTTTCCAATCAAGAATATATATATATATATATATACACACACATCAATTTTATATTGATATTTGAGTATGTTAAAAATGATTATTAATTCTTTTTATCATCGTAAGATTAAATGAGAAAGTAAACAGGGGAATTAATTATACCGTGACGATTATGAGGAGAAGATCAAAGTTAGGTTTGATAGACCATGCAGACGGATCTCTCTCCATGAACAACGAGAAGGCGAGGCACTGCAATGTCCCGACTATGCTGTAAAACGACGCCACCTTCATCACTTGCGGATATTTTTGGACTGTCCCCATCTGTCCAAATGATATAATAATAATAATAATATATACTATCAATAATATAAATATATTGATACCCAAAATATGATATAATATTTAACAGTTGAGAAAGCTTAACCGTGTAAGTTCAATACCTGAATGACGTTGAAAATCGCGACGGAAAAAACGGCAGCTGCGAGGAAAACGCCGCCGAGAACCCAGTTGTCGGGGATCTTGTAATAGACGAAAAGTCTTGGGATTGACCTCAGCAGGCCGGTCGGGGAAGGAGACGAAGAAGGTCTTATGTAAGGACCTTTGTAGAATTCCTCCACGATTGCTCCACTCACCGATATCAATGTCCCAACCACTTTGGCTCTCGTGCTCGTGTTTTGCCACTCTAAGCTGCTCCTCCTATACATACATAAATATGTACAAACAAAAGGTTTGAACTCGAATTCCGAATTAATTGGTATACATATATATATATATATATACATATACATATATATGGGATGGCATCGGAGTGAAGGACTGACCCGAGAAGGAGAGAGAGGAGGAAGGAGAAAGAAGGAAGGAGCAATCCCATTGCACACACTACAATGGGTGAGCTGAAGCTTAGCCCCACAAATGCCAAATTTTGGAACATAAATACCCTGAAATTTTTATTTAATTTAGTTAATATCAATCAGTGAGTCCGAACGAATAATTAACAAAATTGAATCTGTGACGCTCACGTATCTCTGCATGGGCACAGCGTACATGTACATCATGTATGTGTTAAGATCGAGAACATAATTATCTCGGCGTAACGCCATGCAGTTTGTTCTCAAATCCAATTAAATAAATAAATAAAAGGTTTACGTGTCGCGTGCAAGAGCCGCCACGAGGCAAATTGACGTCATCATGTGTGGAAAATATGGCTAGCAGTTTATATTATAATATAAAGTTTGCGTATGGATATACATAATATTGTACCAAACTGTAAGCATTTTTTTTTCTTTCCGTCTTTCTACACCTAAAAGATGTGACAACAGTTCTCGAAGTTTCCAAGCCAACAAGCATTTTCATATTTCTTTCTAGAAACGGTCCAATCTTTATATATATGCAGCTTCATCTGAGTTTTGATTCAATTGATTTCTGGGCTCAGTATTGTCATATTAGATTTAAAGCTCGATATATGTTGCATGCAATGACTTGTGTTATCTCATCATGGATACATATTTACATATATATATATATATGTATGAGTATATATATATATATATATATATATATATGAGTGTGTGAGGAAACAAAACAGGAGAGAGACGCACCCGGTAAAACCCAGAAAGAAAATGCGCACGAGAAGAGGCCGAGAGAAGATGGATAGTTCGGTTCTGGAAAAAAGAAAGATAAATAAACAAATAAAAATAAAACGGAAAATCAGAGACTTAATTTAATGAGATTAACCAGAATAATGAAATCGAATATTTAACTAAGGACATGTTATATGGAGAAGTGGTGGACCGACCTCTCTTGTTTGTGAAAAAAGAAAGAGAAGGGAAGAAGAAGAAAGGATCCGAGGGCGTTTGTGTAAACAACGAACACAAAAGGGCTCATCCCTCCCGTCAACGCCGTTTTCGCCATGATCGTTAAGGCGATCGTGCATCCCTCCATCAGCACCATTACCATAAACGGCACGATCTCCTCCCTCCTAACCTTAACTTCCATCTCTCCTCCCACCACAGTAAAAACGGCACGATCTTCTTATAGATATATAACTAGAAAACGGCACGCTTTCCTTCCCCGAGAGGGAGCTAAGATATGGTTAAAAATTGATAATGGAGAAGATGAGAGGTTTGGGTTACATTTCTTAGATCTTATATAAAGGAGCGAATTAATAATGCAATTGATTATTTTCCATTTTCTGTATTATTCTTTTTCGAAGTGTATAACCTTTCATGAAGAGGTGAAGCTACTTTAGAGCTGTGACGAAGCAACACGAGTGACTCAATGTCTGCACTAAGGGAGGTGCTTACGTCATATTTTTTTAAATTTACATGTTTATCATTCATTATAATCCAATGTTTTGAAATTCTAATTTAATAAATTTTATCATAAGATACGTCGGGTGTTTTGGTTCCGTTTCGAGCATATGACTTGTAACGTACGTGGTCTTTCCTAATTTGTTACTACACTAACTCGCACACGTCAGCTAATCATTATTAATTAATCAAAGACCAACTCACGGAGTTTAATTACGACATACATATATATATAAACCCACCGAACATCGATATGCATGGATTGTGGTTATTATATTTAATGATTTTGAGAAATTCAAAGTCTATATCTCTATGCCGTACATATTCTATTCATGCCGATATTGGTATTTATATCAACCAAAACACATCACTTAGCATAGTTATTGGATAGTATAAGAGTACCAGATGTTATTTTATGTTTATTCGTAGATCGTATCAATTTCATTTATGCATATATACGTAACAAAGAAAATACACAGCAGTGTTTAAGAAATTCTCGTGCAATAATTTTATCGAAAATAAAATATAATTGGATAAAAATAAATAAGTACATTTGCTTTATTTGTCTGCACGTAGCAATGCGGTTTAAATAAACGGGACATTTGCTGACGTAATGGACGCCTAAAATCCTTTGATTGCGTTAATTGTAATTTGTAAACTAATAATAAAGTTTTTGGTGGGTTTATCTCTTTTGTGGCGGAAGTTGATAAAGGGGCCACGTAGAAGGATGTTCAAATGTGTGGGGTCAAAATGGAATAATGATAAAATATATGACTCGAGAACTTAAAAAAGGCGCCATTTCTTGTCAACCCTCCGGTAGAATCCAAGTATTTGATACTGTGATGGCTACTTTTTTTTTTTTTTTTTTGGGGTTAGTGGATTCAGAATCATCCGAAAGAAATGGTAGGTTATAGGTCTACGTTTATTTCATCCCCTAATATTTCTGACGATAGGCCGGTGAACGTGTGATGATGGCTAATCAGACTATACCCATAATAAAAGATATATATATATATATATATATATATATATATATATATTTCTCTTCTTGAATTATATAAAAAAACTACTTTTATTTTAACATGTACTCGAGATATATAGCCAATGTATACAACTATCTAAAAAGTATTAGCTTGGCTGCAGAGATATGTAACACTAATGATTTATCAAATACAATGTAGTCAAGAAAGTTAAAAAAAAAAAAGAACAAAACATTTATATTACGTAGTGTTCCAAAAAAAAAGAAGAGAAAAATATGGTGAAAAATGAAATATGGTGTAGACAAATGCAATGAAGAGAATATATCGAGGTTATAAATTTTACAATACTATATGCATATATATATATATATATTAACATTAAAGATATATAAACCATATAAGTACAAGGACATTTGAATTACATTAATATATTTTTGTTGTATCTTCCAAGTAACTGCGGTTATATCTCTATATCTTTGACCATTGGGTCAATATGGGAGACCGGGAATCATATAATATGAAGCAGAGGACGTAAGCAAAAACTCAAATTAAATACGATAAGTTCCAAACAATATTTCATATAAGAGATGAAACGGCTCTCATGAGTTTTATAGCGACTCTTGGTAGTGATGTAAGGTTCATAGAAGAAGAGAATGTGTAAGGGATGTCTTAGTGATAAGCGGCTACCTCGTCCTTGAAGTGATTCAGCAGATCCTCGATGCTCATCACCTTGTGATCTGACTTGTCCCTCACCCTAACACTCACCTGAATATTTAATCCATCGTACAAATATTATTTAGAAGATAAAAAAACGATATTAGACGAGATGAAAGTTGGGTTGGGGGCGGCCAATTTGGCTAATAACCCAATAAGTTAACCGATTGGAACCTAATAACATCTAACCGTAACCGAACTGAATCCCATATAAAAACCAATTGATTATGATTTCTCTAAAGCCGGAGAAATTGAATCCAAACAGAATAAAAAACCGAAAATTTCTTCATAAGAATGAGTATTTTTGTCAATAAAAACCGAAACCGAATCGAATTCAATATAAAACTGAATGGTTATAGTTTTCATAAAACAGAAATAACCAAATAACTGAACGAAACCCGAAATGGCCACGTTGGGACATTTTTAGAAAGGAAGACAGCAAATAAACCTAACCTGTCCGGTTGCAGCTTCCTCTTCACCAACGACCAGTATGAAGTTATACTGCGCCAACTGAGCTTCTCGTACCTAAACCCCAAGCCACCAACAGGACAGACCCATCCCTCACTCAATCCACATAAAAGGGAGGAAAAGAAAAGCAGATTATATTATACATACTCGAAATCGTTACCTTTTTCTGGATCTTTCTATCTGACGTGTCAACATCGACATAGTATCCAGCGTTATGGACCTGTTCCTTCACCTGTTGTATATAATTGAACAAAGATCAGAATCCACATCGATACTGGGCAATGTGGGCATCAGATTCAAGGCTGAAAAAAAGCAAAACTTGCAGACCTTTAATGCGTAAGGGGAGGATTTCTCTGAGACGGGGCAAACGATGGCCTGACGTGGACTAAGCCAGAACGGCCATTTTCCTTTGTAATGCTCCAACAATATGGCAAACATTCGCTCTACGGATCCTAACACAGCTCTGTGTATCATTACAGGTCTCTCCCTCTTAGCTTCGTCTTCAGCTGAGTACTCCAGTTTGAATCGATCCGGAAGTTGAAAGTCAAGCTGAGTTGAGAGAGCCAACAGGACAAAGGTGAAAATTCTTGTGCTGAAGGATGTGTGCTTGATAGGGAAACTATAACGCTTTTAATAGTATTATAACCTGTAGAGTAGCACACTGGAATTTCCTATTCATTGCATCAGACACAGTAATGTCTATCTTCGGCCCGTAAAATGCTCCATCTCCTTCATTTAACTGCACAAATCAACTATAGTTTTAACTCGGGATAAATCCTAGACATGTCTCAAAGAAACTTTGGTATGAGGGTAGGAAGGTCTGTTGCATGGAACCAAATCATATGGTGTTTAGAAATAAGTAAAAGGTCTGTTGTGAACAAAAAATGTCCATATACCTGCCATGGCTTTCCAAAGGCATTTAGCGCTTCTTTAAGAGCATTTTCGGCTCTGTCCCATGTTACCAAATCTCCTAGGTACTTCTCCGGCCTCTAAAATGCGGAACAAGCAAATAACGGGCAAATGAGGCATGCAAATTCAAGAAAAGTTAATTCTATCGAATAGTTAGGCCGCAACATAGAAGACACATATCATACTGTTGAAAGTTTTAGCTCATAGGTAAACCCGAAAACTTTGTAAGCATAGTCAATGAATTCCAACACACCCTTCACTTCTTCTGTAACCTGCAAATACATAGATGATGCTAACTATGAATATTAATTGGGATGCAAGGTAGCTCCACATTGCTGGGCAAGAAACTTCCACAAACCTGAGATTCTTTACAGAAAATGTGTGCATCGTCCTGCGGAGAAGATTAAGAGAATGGCATTATAGAAACACAAAAGTCACATGAAAAGGGACTAAAAATAAATTCACAAATAAGCTAAAACATTATTTCCATCAACAGTAGGAAAAAGGCAGCAACTTTGGCTCACAAACCAAATCAATTTGATGAACAAATGGAAAGTCAGAAGGTCTCAGTGTGATTAAATGAACAAGGAAACAAGACTGAGGATTAAGAATGATACCTGCTGGAATCGACGAACACGAGTTAACCCAGTTAGTGCTCCACTTGCTTCATTTCGATGCAACACTCCAAAGTCAGCCAGTCTAAGAGGTAATTCTACAGACCATTCACACGGTGAGAGAATAATATCAGCAACGGCAAACAATAAGACTTTACAAGATAGTCAGTTTTCTTATAAAAAAAAAGAGGGAAAAACCATCACATTAATGAAAGGTACAGGATGGACCTCTATATGAACGAACTCTGTGTTGGAACATCAAACAGTGACCAGGGCAATTCATTGGTTTGAGCCCAAATTCTTGCTTCTCAATCTGTGTAAGGAACAACAACAAAATGACACGTAATATATCACCAGCAGAATAAAGCATAAACTAGATATTTGCATCCGTCAAGGCTAGAGGCAAAGTTAACAAAGACTTAAGAAGACCGTTAAGCAGTTTTATAGTCTCTTACATCAAACAAAAACATGTTTTCCTTGTAGTTTGCAGCATGTCCAGATGTTTCCCAGAGATTCATGTTGTACATATTTGGTGAGATAACCTGCCAGTTAAAGGTTGATTAGCTATCCATCTCACCAAGTATATAGTGGTAGCAACAGTAGCACAGAGAACTAGAAGGAACCTCTGTGTAACCCCTTTTCCAGTATTGCTCCTTAATGAATTCCATCAACTTATTATACACACGGGTACCATGTGGGAGGAAGAACCAGCTTCCAGGGCTGCAGCTCAAGAATATGATAAACGTATTAGCCTCATGGAACATAGTAAAAAATAAGGCAGGATACGTAAGCAATTGGAGAACCTTAATGGATGGCAAAAGAAGAGTTCCTGCTTCTGGCCCAACAATCTGTGGTCATATTTTTTTGCTTCTTCCAGAAAATCAAGATGTTGCTGTTCAACGACAAAGATAAGATGATCATACAGAAACACAGATATACAGCGTACAGGACAGGAAGGGTCTGCCAATGGGCTTAAGAGTTTAAACAAGAAAGCATCAAATGTTTTGAGAATCACGATTACCTTCAGCCGTTTCTGATCTGGAAAAGATATCCCATACACTCTCTGTAAGCTCTCGCGGTCTTTGCTACCCCTCCAGTAAGCTGATGAGGCCTGAGATAAAAACAACTCCAGTCAGCAAAAGGAAAGAGGGAAGTTGTGGAAAACAAACTGGAATTTCTGGCAATGTCTCATCCAGAGATAATGTGGAACTTCACCTTCAAACACTTGAATGCTTTCACAAATGACGTGTTTGGTATATGCGGTCCACGACACAAATCAATCAAAGGTCCACATCTATAGACAGTTATGGTCTTGTCCGCAGGTAATTCATTGATGATCTCAACCTGATAAACATAACATCAGAAGAATGAGCCCAAATGAAAAATTTGAAATCAAAGGAATAAATGAAGGATCAGGGAATAAACCAAGCTTCATGACTCTAAACGCTTCTCAACCCACCTTAAAATTATTATCAGAAAACATCTCAAATGCTTGATCCCTTGTGACTTCAATCCTTTCAAATGGTTGTTTTTCCTAATACGTTAATACAAGGGAATCAGAACATCAGTAAAACAGGTTATGAAGGTGACAAAATCTGCATCTGATGTTCAAGGGATTCGAGAAAAGGAAAAAGACTTATAAAACAGCTAGTATATGGACGATCACAAAAGCATAAAATAAAGCTATATCACCAAAAAAAAAACCATACCCCAGCAGCTCTTGATGCACCTTTATCGATCTTACTAAAGTGATCCTCGTTCAATCCCAAATCTCCATAAAATGCATCATAGTAGAAACCCTGCAAGAGCATTCGACAATGATGTCCCATTTTGTACATTACATTGACAAAGCCAAAGCATTCTATGACGATTACTTTCCTTCAACTTCTACTCTTAAACCCAAACCAGCTACTAGATTCAGCAGCAAGAACAACCCATAAAGAACTCAGATCGAACTTCAGATACAACAGGTAACCGATTAAGCTGAACAAAAGAGATTAACAACAAGCACGAGCGCACTCCACTTACCTCCCCTCTGGTTGTACACGGTCCAATACATAGCTTGCAACCATACTCCTGCTCAAGAGCCTGCACACACAACACCGCCGGTTAACCAAAGTCATTTCATACCATGAAAATTATACAATAACAATGACACATTCACTTCACCTCGCCAAGAATGTGAGCACTAGAATGCCAAAAAGTATCCCGGCCTTTGTCGCTATCAAATGTGAAGATCTCGAGATTACAATCTCCCTCTAAAGGCCTAGACATGTCCCACAGCACATCGTTGACTGACGAAATGAGTGCATTTGCTGCTAAACCCTTAGAAATCCCCAACGCGATGTCCATCGGAGTCGTCGCCCATCTCTTCCCTTCTCTCACGCTTCCATCCGGTAATGTAATCCTAGAACCCCAATACCAAAAATATCACCAAACCAATAGAAAACCAGACAACCAAAGCATTCGAGCATATGCTCAATAGCACAGACACAGCCCCATCAGATTACTTGATCGGATCTTGGGGGAGAGATTGGAGCTGCTCGAGCTGAAGAGCTTGGATCTGCTCGAAGAGCTTGATACGCTTGGGGATCACGGCGGAGAGATACGATTCGTCTTTGGGGTGAGAAACCGCCATGGGTGAAACAGTGGAAAACGACGCAAGGAGATGGGGTTTGCAGAGACAAGCCAGAGACGACGAAGAACAAGTTGTGAAACGACGGAGGGAGGAAACTGAGAGACGGAGGAGCATCAATGGAGGAGGAAGTGAAGTTTCCGTTAGAGGGTTTTTGCAATCTTAGGGATTCAATATTTGAGCACAAAGCAAAAGGCCCAATCAACAATTGTTTGGATCCATTTAATAGCCCATTTTGCAGGCCCATCCGGATTGCAATGAATCGACAATGGCATTTTTGAAATACTAATTATTTTTTTATTTTAATATGTGAATTTTAGAGAGAGAGAGAGAGACGTAGGGTTTCGATGAAACTGCAGCGGTGCAGACTCTTCTCCTGGGATGAGCGATGGGCTCCACTAAAGAAATGTAATTTTTGTCCATAAAAAATTCACAAGGTAGGTGACCAAAACGGGCCCTACAAGGCAATTAATTTAGTGTAATCTCTTTTTCCCTTGCATGTTAAAACAAGAACGGTAGCTCTGGTTGTGCCAAATCTGTCGAGCAAATCATCTGCGTCTACATTTTGACTGGAAAGCGATTGGATTTGTTGGGTTCCACAAAAAAAGAAGAAGAAAAATCGATTCTTTTCATTTCTTATTGGGGCTTTTGTTGAATAATTCCGGGAGAGCGAAGTGATGGCGGTGTGTCGGTTCTTCTTCATGTCCTGAGAAACATGCCTCGTTTCCAGCTCAAAAACGGTAACTTGATCCAAATCTCGCATTCTTCTTATGCTTCCCCTCCTTCTTATGTTAGTAATCCTCAGACTGAATCGAATTCACCATCTTCTAGTAGTAGAATAAGCCCGGTTTTTCTGTTCATCATTGTTCTTCTGGCTGTTGTCTTCTTCATCTGCGGTGTTCTTCATCTGTTCGTGAGATTCGTTAAAAAGAAAAGGTCGAGTCTTTCGTCGTCGGCGCCGGATTCCGACCAGACCCTCGAGTTTTCAGACACCGGGGCCTTCCAGAGACAGCTGCAGCATCTATTTCATCTCCATGATTCGGGTCTTGATCAGTCATTAATCGATGCCCTCCCTGTGTTTATGTACAAAGAGATTATGGGTTCGAAAGAGCCGTTCGATTGCGCTGTCTGCCTCTGCGAATTCTCAGAGGACGACAAGCTCAGATTGCTCCCTTTGTGTAGCCACGCCTTCCACATTGATTGTATTGACACGTGGTTGCTCTCTAACTCAACCTGTCCGCTCTGCAGAGGAACCCTTTTCACGCCAGCGTACCAATTCGAGAACCCAGGTTTTGATTTCCGATTTCTCGCCGGAGAAGATGGGGTTTCAGGGCAAGGAAGGGGAGGAGTTAGGGTTTCTCCTGGTCAGAAGCCGGAAGAGAGTGAGATCATCAGTGGAAAGAGAGTGTTTTCAGTCAGGCTGGGCAAATTTAGAAGCAGTAACACCGATGGAGAGACAAGTGGGAGTATAACTAGCAATTTGGATGAAAGAAGATGCTTTTCAATGGGGTCATATCAGTACATTGTGGCTGAATCAGATCTTGTTGTGGCATTGTGCTCCAATGGTGGTTTGAAAAGCGTGAAAGGGGAAAGTGGGGACAGTGTCAACTGTTCCGGTGTAGGAGATAACGTCGAGGGGAAGAAGATAAATATGAGAAGGAAAGGCGAGAGCTTTTCAGTGTCAAAGATATGGCAATGGTCAAACAAGAGATCAAGATTTCCAAACCCAACAGTTTCACATATGGCTAAGGGCTCTTCTTCACCTTGTTCGTGTTCTGCATCTGGTACTGTTTCTGGGTTTTGTCATCATTGAATGGAGGGAGATCTCATAGTCCATGAAAAGGTGCAGCTCAAATGCTAATTATGTTAAATTCATTAATTTGATTTCTGTTTCTATTTTTGCCTGTCTGTGTTCATTTTTGCACAAGACTACATAGTTCTTTCTTCTCTCCCGCCAAAGAGATAGATATCTGTTTGTGGGAAGTTTTTTTTTTTTTTTTTTTTTTTTTTTTGGCATAGGATGTCTGCTGATCTGCAGTTCTATAAAAAGAAATGTTTGCATAGGATGTCTGTTTATGATTGTGTGATTATATAACCTGATATGGATATAATCTGATACAAGAATCAAAATTTGAGATACATGGCAGATTGATTATATGAATATGTTATGCAAGATATGAAACAAATGCTAATTGATTTCATCATCATCTGTTATCCTAGCAAAAGCTTTAGAAATATTAAATATATGGTGCTATGAGGATAAACATGGATGTATGATATTGGCAATTTGATGATGATAAATATATTTTCCTCTTTTGATTTTTTTTTTCTTAAGACAAGCAACTCGTTATATTTCCAAATACAATCAAAGTCGGAACCTTTCTTACAAGACAGATCTAAAGTTACCCAATTTCACCACAGATCCCACCACCACCCAACCTATATCCAAAACTTCCAATCGCCTGCATTATCTCACGAAGGAGCAAGCGGTCATCTCAAGATTTCAACTCTGGGACAGTTTCACATATAAGGGTAACTTCCAGAATGAGATCTGTATCGAACACTCTGATAACCATTCGTTGGATGTTTTCCAGAGTCCACAGCCACGGCGGCAGCAGCAGCAGCCATGTCCAGTTCTTGAACTGCTCCAAAGACCATCTCATTGGTTTTCTCACTGCTCTGTTCATAAAATGTATGTGGAACAGATGAGTGATGCCTACGATGATGCTGTTTCTGCTTCTGCTGATGATGAAATTCCATGTCCCAGCTGCTGTAAAACGCACGGCTCTGACGCAACTGGTTCATTTTCTCTGCGTCTTTGGACATGAAAGCGTAGGTCTTTTTGGGAGTAGGGTTTCTGGGCTCAATGGGTGGAGGTCCATCTTCATCCTGTATCACAAAGCTCTCCTGAACCGGCCATGGCGTTTCTGCAGCTGCAGCAGAAGAAAACTGCCGTGTTTCTTGATGCTTCTTTCCAAGATGGGGAAGTATCCCTCCGAAAATCTCCATAAAGGATGCCCAAGAATTAGAAACAAGATTTCCCAGTGACCCGAATAAACTTTCCTCTTGTTTCTCTTTATCCCCTTCTGTTGGAATCAGAGGCGACCTGACTGATTTCAGAGGCTTTTGATCCAGGCTTGTGTCGTAGATTTCTTGATCCTGAAAACAACAAGAGGTAAAGGTTAGAAGAACGAGAAAATGATGGTTAAGATGTTGGAACGAGATCATGCATTCACTCACGCTGTAAGACGACATAATAGACCCGACTCTACTTTGCAACAGGGCTAGCATATAACCAAAGAAACCCGCAGCAACGAGCACAGCGATCCCTGCAACAAATTTTGAGCACTTAGAATGCAAAGATACGGATGAAAATGGTGATAAAGAAGGATTTGGACTGAAAATCTACCGAGAGGAAACCCGCTTCCATATTGATAGGCACAGTCATCAAAATGGAGTTGGATCTCTCTAATGGCTCTGTTTCCTCGGTCTATGACGAGCAAGGAACAACTGCTTCCCACATAAACAATGTCAAAATCATTAGAAAATTTTGCATCTTCACTTGGACCGTCCACATGACTTCCCCTGCCATTTTTTCCCCCAGCGATTGTTGTAACTCCTGCAAGGAAAGTTTCTTTTTAAGCTCATTATGGGATATAAGCTTGTCTTTAACCCAAAAAGAACAAACAAAGTGTCTTTCATCCCATCCCTTAAACCATCCATGCAAGTATTCCAAGCTTTCAACCTAATTCAATAGCAAAGATTGAAACTGCTAACTTGGTAACTATCAAGCAATGTCTCTCCAAGAACCGAAAAGGCCGCAAGACATCATAGAGCTCGGAGATGAGTAACCAGAAAAACCATACCTCCGTCACTTATCTTTCTGATAGCGTTATTCATCGTGTCTGCAACATAGATATTTCCTCTGTCATCTACCGTGATCCCCTTAGGATGGTTCAGCCTTGCCTCTCTTAATCTCCCATCCACGTGCCCCGAATATCCTTCTGGTGAGCCAGTAACCAGCCTTGGCCTGCTATCTGCCAATGTCCAAGGCATTTCATAACAAGAAACCGGTAGCCCACTTGAACTAATGATCTATATCAGTTTAAGGTTATATCAAGAAAGAGCTAATCTTTCTGGCACTGATCCAATCATTTTGGACGAATGGACAATTCACTGAGTGTATTCCATCAGTTAAACGTCGGAGCTGTACTAATAGCACAAATCAAATTCCATTCTTTATATCTAAAGGATTGAACTTTCATTGGATCCCAAACCCAGATTCAGAAAACAAGAAAAAGTGTCATATATTATACCCAGAAGAAGCTGAGCATTCCCAACAAGTAGCTTGGATACGACAAAGAGACAGCAAATCGCCATGTAATACTAAGATGGCTTCATACTGAACTTCATTCTAGAATCAAGTACTTCCATTTTACCATAGAAAGCATTCTGAGCAATCCATGTGCACTACATGTAGGTAAGATCACGGATTTCTTCGTAAAGACAAATAATAAACGTGGGTCTCGAATTCAAAATCATAGAACCAACACCAATCGGATAATTTGAAGCCAAAAAAACTTGAAATCCATTCAGTCTGATGCAAACCCAAGTCGAAACCGGGAAAAAAACGTAATTTTACGAGACCAGCATCATGGCGACATCATCAATCGATATGAAAAATAAAAATGAAGCCCACGCATATGAATGTAAGTAAACCCAGATGGGAATCGAGCAAGAACAGTCAGAGATCAGACAAAATAAAACAGCTTCATATGATGTCGGCTGCTGACGAAGCGATGATCGTACTTACACAGAGAAAGCGAGGAGGATATCTTGTAGATGTTGCTATTGGCAGAATCCAGAATAATCAGCTCTCCGTTTGGAAGGACCTCGACGGAATATGGTTCTACACCGAGCTTGCTTCCGTCGAACACTGTTTCCACCGTGTACCCATTTTCGTATCTCACCATCGACCTCGAGGAAATCACTGAATAAACGCGCGTATATTCGTCAAAAAAATTCCAATTCGGGAAAGAAACAGTAAAACAAAAAAAATGAAGAGGAAGAGGAGAGATCAAACATCTGAACCTGTTTTTTTCGAGGTGGTCTTGAGGGACCATAACCATTTCATGAGGGAGGAACCGTGATTCGAGATGAAACCATTGATAATCTCTGCCAAAGTAATCTCGACGCATTAGCGAAAAAAAAACGAAATCCAAATCTAAGGGTGGGGGTAAAAAAAAATGATCAGCATGAGAAAAACAGAACTTACTCGCCGGTGAATTAGCTGAAGGAGCAGGAGCCACGAACCCAGAGAAGATCAGAATGAGGGTACCCAGAAACAGTAAATTGTTACCCATGGATATCAGTTGGATCCAGAAACAAAAAAAAATAGGGAAAAGCAGAAGCAGTACAACAGAGATTCCAAATGAGGAAAAAAAGCCCTAGTTCATATCGAGAAAAAGCAGGAAAATGGAGGACAATGCGAAGGATTCAAAAAGAAGAACACAGATTCAAGTTCTCTCAATCGAGGAAAGAAGATGGAGGGAGAAGGAGAGTGAGAGTGAGAGAGAGAAGAGAGCTTAGATTTGCCAAAGGAAAGCAGTGCAAGTAAATGGAAAACGACTAGCGTCAAACAAACAGTACAAATGTTCTCTCACTAAAAATTCCTATATTCTCGCCGCTTTATTATTTATTTTCCGAAATTCACATGTTGGGTTATATTATATCACATGTATTTAGTTAATTGTAATAAAAGTGACAGTAACTAAAAGAAAATCATAATATAAAAAAAAAGCATCATACTTTAGGGTTAAATTGTTTTGGAGAAAGCATGGCCGAGACTGCGAAAGGGTCTCCTTTTGTTTCTACTTTTTTACTGGGAAAAAGGGTGTTTGGCCGTGTAGGAATCTATTCTTTTTTTTTTTCATTCATATATGCATTAATAATAATAATAATAATAAATTCTCCTTATATTTAATGGGCTCAGAGGGTAAAATCTTTTACAAACCCAGCCTAGAAGGAAGAACCTGTAATCAGTCGTGGGTTTACGCATGGCCTGGCCCGTGGACCGCCCGAAACATTTAAAAAGAAAAATTACCACGCGCATGGACCGCCGCCGCATGTGGTCCAGTCTATAAAATATGTGGCTATCAATTTGGTTAATAAATTTCGTCAATTATTCCGTAACAACCTAATGTTATACACACATTGATACAAAAATTTCTCCATCTATATAAAAACACCTCAAGAAACAGAGTCCAAAACTTTTGGCCTTTTGATTCACATTTTAAAGCCATTGAAGATGAGATACTAAAACAACACACCATACATCACTAAAAGAAAAAAAAATCATGTACAAAAAGACGGAAATACCCCTTCCGTTCAGACATGGTAGATCATGCCGACCTCTAGCGTGGACGCGTGCGGGGCGGAGAGCGATAGCGTCGAGCCTCTACTGTTCCGACGAAGGAACTCGTAACCGACGTTAATGGCGAGTCTCTTGAAGAGACCGGAGCCAGGCTTCGCCTTCATGTAGGCGTGTCCCATTATGTAAGCCACTCCCCCTTCACGCGCCTCGTTCAGCTCCTCCACCTCCTCCCTCGTCTCCTTCTCCATCTTCACGCTCTCCGGCACGATGAATCTCACCCTCTTCTTCTTCCTCGGCTTCTTCCCGATCGGCAATGGCGGCGATACGATCTCCCTCCTTTCCGACGGTCCCGGCTCGTCTATGTCGTCGTCCTCGCTTATCTTAATGCCTTGCGTGTGGCTGGAACTTGTTCCGACGACTGCCATTCTGTCGCAGTCCCCATCCTGGAAACCGTCGTTCTCGGTTTCGGTGGCGGTCACGGCCTCCGACCGCACGAACTCGGCGATGCTGCAGACGAGTTCGTGCTCGAACTCGATGTCGTCCTTGTGCACGTCGCGGTACCCATATCGGACAATGCACCTGTACATCCGGAAGTGTCGGGGACCGATTCGGCCGACGAGGAACCGTTCCTCGGCCCGGACGTGCGGGACTGGGACCGCCTTGACGCAAAGGAAGACCAATACCTACACAGAATATTCAAAAAAAAATTACAATCTAAATATTACGTAATATTAGGATGATATTTTAGAAAATTCTCTATATTTCTGATAGTACCTGATGGAAGGCGGGGAGATTTGTGACGAAATGGGAGAAAATGGCCGGAACACCAGAGACGAGCTCGGTGTGGACGAGGCCAATGCCGCGAACACGGGCAATCCCGAGGCTCTGTCCGAGGCTGAGGAGCCAGTTGACAGAGACCTTGTTCTGGACGTCGAATTCATAACGTTTGAGGGTGCCATAGTGCCAAACGCACATGACGAGGAGGAAGACGAAGGCGAGGACAATCGGGACCCACGCTCCTTCGAGGAACTTTATCAAGGAGGCCGAGAAGTAGAGCGCCTCGATGGTCCCGAAGAACAAAACAAAGGCGATTGCAAATACGACACTCTTGTGCCAGCAGAGTACGATGACGAGCGACATCAGACATGTTGTCACAAGCATGACAGTTATAACCGCAAGACCTGTTTCAGAGGATTTAGATTATCTCTCTTTCTAGAGAAATTTTATCTCGATATTTCAATACCGTAATGTCAAGAGTGTTTCTTCTCGTAAAGATAACTGACGAAGTGGAAACACGAAAGTCGAATGGGGAATGAGACCGATAGAATCGATTACCTGAGGCATTACCCATCCGCTTGGTATCCCGGAAACCGATGGTGACGGCCAAGCACAAGAGCATCAAGATCCAGTTGATTTCGGGGATGTAAATCTGACCGTGGATCTTGGACGAAGTGTGAACAATCTTTACTTTTGGGAAGCAGTTGAGGGCCGAGCACTGTTTGATGATCGAGAAAGTTCCGGTGATTATGGCTTCCCCCCCCCCCACTGCCGCCAGTATGGCTATAACCAGAACCGGCCACCTTAGTTTCTCTGCATAATACAGATCGTGTTTCAGAACTAAGCTCGGATAATTGTGAGCTTTAGTGTTTCGGGTAATGCCATTAAAGCCGAAATCCATCTTCTTCAAGCGATGGAAAAGACTCAGACTATATACCGGGAACAGAGACGTAAAATCCGATTCTGTACTCGCTTTCAATGACATGGTGCTGGGAAAGGTATGCCGCTTGTCCCATGTAGGCGAGGATCAGGGACGGGTAAACGAGCAATGTAAAAGCAATCTGCATTCGAATTCGAAACAAGGGAAGTGGTAAGAACAATAACAAACATAAAGAGCACGGCCCGAGATGACAAAGAATGATCTGATTAAGCTGACTCGAACCTTGATCGACAATTGCGAAAAATGTCCAAGGTCTGCAAACATGGCTTCGGACCCTGCATAGACAAAAAAAAACGGGTCGAGATTTTCTTCGGGAGAGGATGGGTTTCAAACGGTATAATCCCGAACACCGGACCTGTAATGCAAAGCAAGATCCCACCCAAAGACATCCAGCCTCCACGCTGAGTTTTCTTCAGGAACTTGTACATGTGATAGGGAGAGAGCGCTCGGTAAATGTGCGGATTCCAGACAACGATGTTGTAAAGGCCGATGGTGCTGATGCAGAGAAGCCATATCAGAACCACGGGTGCGAACAAGAACCCGACTCTGTGTGTGCCGTAATGCTGAAGTGCGAACAAGCATATCAGTATAAGGCAAGCGACCGGTACTTCTACATCTGCAAGAAACAGCAGCCACAACTCACAATCTGCAAGAACTGGCATTTCTCCGAGGAACAAGGCATAAACAGAAACAACAGCAAGAATGTTCGGTCCAGAGTTGTCTGAAAATATTTGGATCTTGGTAAAGGTAAAAGCTTTCAACAAGCGGGAGAGTTTCAAACTTTCAAGACCATGAAAATTCCTCTGAACCGAAACCCGAGTTGCCGAACATAACAGTTGCATAGGATTCAACAATGCAGAACAAGAACAGGAATGCTCGGTCAAGAATCCGACAGGATAACACTCCGGGTTTTGGAAAGTAAAGATTTTGAAGGAAGAAGTGCAGCAGATATTTCACAATTCTAGACTATCTACCAGTTGATGATCAAACAAGAATCCAAGTGCATATTCAATAAGTGGGCCATCAAAATAAAACCGAATTCCAGAACCCGAAAGCCGAAATATCGAGGACCTTATATGTGATGGACATACGACCACATCCTAGCAGGGTTTGATATTTAATCTGTGGCATGTGCAAATTGTTTCAAGCAATCAAACATACCGATTTCAAACAATGGGCTCCACAGATAAAAGGAATTGGCAACCTTAAAGACAATTGAAATGATAAGAGCAGAGCAGTGATATACAACGAGCGCCAGTCAAAATGATACGTGAAGTGAGATTATCAGCACAACACAAGAATTGCCATGAAAATGAATAGGAAGCCGTCGAGTTCAGCAAGTCAACCGAGAGTTTAGACAAGAACCAATCAAGAACCGGTATTGGATTATAAACTCCATTATGAAAAAGATTTTGAAGCCAAGTGATGAGATTATAAGGATTAGGAAGCATTTGTGCTTAGAATTTCCCAGGACAAGGATTCTCAAATCACCAAATCAAGCAATTCAACTGAGAGTTTGAACAAGAATCGATGTGAGGCCTGGATTAAGACAATCCATCAACCAATCAAGAGTGTGGTCAGCTACAGAGAAGAAACAAATAAAAAGAAACTCACATTTGTGATGCTCCTTCGACATTGAAAGCTCGACTCCAGAAACTGCGGAGAAAACTGCAAGAACAATGGATGCACAGAGTAAAGACAAAACCCAGAATCTTGAAATTAACCCAACAATATGTAATAAAGATTAAGGCTTTTTCACGTGAAATCCGACATGATTACCAGAGATGGCTGGCGTTAGGACACCATCGCCGATCACCATACAAGTCCCAATCAAAGCCAGGACAAGCAAAATCCTCTGCAACACCCTGTGTTTCTCCAGTGTAGATTTAAGACCGGCTCCAAATCCCGATTTGGGCGCTGACCCGATCGAGTCCTTCTTGTACTCGATGAGCTCTTCGTCGGCCAACTGGCAATTCGGGAGCGAGTTGACTCGGGCGTGTCGACACAGCAGTGAGTAGAGAGCGAAAGTCCCTCCCTCGCCATTATCGTCGGCTCTGAGGACTATGAACACGTATTTGAGGAGAGGGACCAGAGTGATGGTCCAGAAGACAAAAGACAAAACGCCGAAGATCTCTTCGTTTGTCTCCGAGTGATGAATATCCTCTGCGAACGTGCTCTTGTATACATACAAAGGGGAAGTGCTCAAATCTCCATAGACAACCCCCAAGCTCTGATAAGCTAATGTCAATACAGTTCTCCATGATTCTCTCTGCAACAAAACAGAAACCCCAAATTGGGTTTTTCCTCATCTTATTCGAGACGGAACCGACAATAACGAGAAACGCGATCCGACGTTGCGGAAAGGGCGAACATTTTTCGGGATCTCTCGGCGTGGAACAAGGAATCATTGATCGAGGCGACTCGATCTCAAACAAAGAATGATAACAAACCCATCACACTTACCTTGACGATGTTCTGGTAACTTCCGGGTTCCAAATCCATGGTGGGCAGAGTCAAGAACTGGAGACGTCCATGAATTATGTTCGCAAAATCGGGAAAGATTCAACTCTGCCCAGTCAAGTTAAGGGCTCCAGAGAAACTGACAGATTCGAGCAATCAAGGAAAATGATTGTTTTATTACTCAAAACAGAGATGAACGGCGAAGAATAATATAAAACTTTTGAAAAAAAATGGAGAAAGCCGAGAAAGAGAACGAATATGAGATTTTTTATTATGGGTTTCGAAATTCAGACGACAAAGGCAAGATTTTTAGAGAAAAAGAGGTTTTTTTTTTTTTGGTTTTGTGAATTTTTAAAATCTCGATTAACAATTTCAAGTTGCTGAGCAGGAGAAATATATATATTTATTGTTTTTTCGCGTTCGGCTCTTGGGAAGTGAAATAGTCGCTCTCTCCCCGTTCTTCAGCGAGAGAGAGAGATACATACATACATACATACATACATACATACATACATACATACATACATACATACATATATACATACATATCCATCCATATACGTATGCCCTTTTACAAATTTTATATTGGGATTTCAACATTTGCTTCAATAATATCGATTATTATTTCAAAACTAATATAACCTGGCCAGAATGATGGAATATATCTAATCAAGTTCATTGAAAATAATCCCGTTACGAATCTCATTGTTTTTTTTTTTTTTGCAATGCAAATTTCTTTTTCTTTTTTTTTATAAAGGGAAATTTCTTTCTTTCTAGATGGTCATGTATATATTTGATGAAATGAGAATTAATATGTTTCTATTTCATTATACAACGGTGGCTTCAAATGTGACGATTATTTTCGAAGATTACCTCATTATTTAGTCTAAAAAAATAAAAATAAAAATAAAAGTAAGATCATTATTACGGAGTGAAAAAAATGAGAGAAAGCAAGTGTGGACTGTTGGTCCTTGATAAGTGGCACGTCGATTCATATAATTGAAGCTTTATATAAAGCGATTATCAATTTTATTAAAAAAAAAAAATTGTCCAAACTGCTTTAAAAAATTATTATATTTATCCTTTTTTACCGTTAAAGTAAGGAAAATAAAAGGAAAAGGTAATTATTACTTTGCTTTTATTTAGTCAAAACCAACTCGCAACCGACTAATACATATCTATCTATACATATTACTAATCATACAATAAAAATGTTGAATGAAGTAATCACCACGAAATGAAACCTACAATAAATCTCAAGCAGCACAAGATTTTGTATTAATTCCTAAATATATTTCGTTTCTTCTAGTGAATTATATTTTATAGTGATGAAGTTATAATTTGTTTGTCTCTATCGATTGATGGCTCCACATGGATTATATGGATAGCCTATCTCCGATATCTATATGTAGATGACACCCGAATAATCTAATATAAAATAGACAGTCAGAAAATTAAAATAAATCCTTCTTTTTAAATATGTGTTCTTGATAAACCCTATCCAAAAACAGTAATTAAAACAATTAATCAATTTTAATATTTTACATATTGAATATATTAAGTCAGAAATTTAATATATTGAGATTTGCTGTGATTGTTAATTATCATACATATGGAATTATATATTGAAATATTATGGATATACAGATATATAAATATATTGGTTGTAGACTGTATAAATTATAATTCTATAGGATAAAATATTGGTATCAAACAACATGCATGCTTTTATTATCATTTCAATCTGTCTTCTATTGCGTTGGTGGCGGAATATGAAACCGAATCATTCCCGTCTTGGGATGGGTCTGGACACGTGGTCCAATCAATCGATGTTGTTGCCATTCATGTCATGTATCGTGAAGAAATAATTGCGTATTAATGGAAGTTTATTGGCTAATTATGTATTAAACGATGCTATAAATCAAATATGAAACTTTTTTTTTTTTTTGGTATGGATCGTGACAAAGCAGACATATGGGGTCTCTTCTCGTTGACGTTATCATCCAACAAATATGGACGTGCAGCATGTATTTGTACATGTCAAAGTGTGGATTTAAAATATGTAATGATGGTTTACGGTAATTGTATACAGTTTATCAAATCTCACACAAATATTCACATGTTATATATATATATATATATATACAGTGGCAGATCCAGAAAATTTTTTCACCGGGGGCAATACGATAATAGTAATATATATAATATACAAAATTAATAAAAATATATCGTCTAAAGAATATTTATATCGGATAACTGAATTTTACGTTTTTTATTTTTTAAATATATTTATGTAATTCAATTTCTAATTATTTTAAATATATTTTTGATAAAATAAATCAGATAATTTATAAAAAATTATGTATTCTCGTTAAAATTTTACCACAATATTAAGATAATATTACCAAATTATTTTAAAATAAATTTATCGATTTTTCTGATAAATCAAATAAAAAATTAAATAAATATATAAATATATATATAGATAAATTGATAAATATAATAAATACATAAAATCAAATAAAAAAATTGTTTAAAATAACAATCATAATTTTTAAATATGTTTAAATTTTTTTATTTATAGTTTTAGTTTGATTATTATTCAATTGATAATGATTTTTTGTTTGATCAAAGATAAAAATAACAACTTAAAAAATGGAAAACAAGAAAAAAAAGGAAAAAAATATGGGACATAAGATTTGATTTGTTAAATCTCGTAAAATACATTTAAAATGAAAAACGGTGGGGTCCAAACAAAATTTAAGTGGGGGTATTAAGGGTGTTTTTTTAGAATTTTTCTTAAATTCTATAAATAATTTTAAAAAAAATAAAAATTAGTGGAGGCCAGTGCCCCCACTCATTCTCAAGTGGATCCGCCTCTGTATATATATATATACGCATATAGTAGCTTTGTCTTGATTACCCATTTCGAGGGTTTCGGTACCAAATGACACGTGGAATTTTATAGAGAGAGACGTTAATTATTTGAATCGGAATAAGGTGGCGTGGGCTACAGGGCCAGACACGTGCCATGATGCATGCAAGAACCGTGAAGTGCTCGACCATTACAATATAATCATTGTCAAATATATTATTCTTCCTTGGCTATTCGTATACATGTATGCATTGGTATGATATTTCCCATTACTTGTGACGGGCCGGCGTATCAACCCACACATGGTCACGAATCGAATCTATGTTAAAAAAAATTGTGGAGCGTAGAAATTTCATTAGAGAAATTGAAAATTAATAGTAATATATATTTTTAGCATTATCCAAATTATTTATATTCATTACTTAATTATGCATGGTTGATATAATATCGGTTCCTCTTGATTTAGTATATAATAATTGGGTTAACATCATTCACAATATAATCCTTATTATCGTTAATTCGATGTAAATATTACTTTTTGACATATATAGTTCGCGATTACATTTTTTAGAAACGGTGAAAAAAAAAGAAGCAAAATCGTTTCGAGAAAAAATAAAACAACATATGGATATATAAAATATGATGCATCATAAATGTATTACAATTTATGATCATAAAATTAATGGTCAAATGGTCATCGAGTAATCTTTGGGATCTCTAAAACGATATGTAGAAATGATCTAAGATCTTAGCCATATGTTTACTCAGTTATTAAATTATAAGACGAGTTTTGGTTAGGTGATTGTCGTGTTGTCGCTATCTTATTGGGTTTACGTGATTCGAATACGGTTCAAATATATGCATATATATATATATACAGCAAAAATAATTAATTTATATCGATCATTATTGCGTAACAATCCACCGTGTCCGTGTGTCGTCGTGTTAGCCTACGGATATAGTTATATAATTCATAAAATGTAAATTTGTAATATATATATATATATATATATATATATATATATATATATATATATTTATGGGACTGGTGGCCGTCTCTATGTGCTCAAGAACACGACTTTTCTTTTCAACAAAATACGACACTTGAAGTTGAAACAGTAGCATCAGAATTGTAGTTATTTGTGTGCTATATGAGATATTATATTATTTTCACGCACGAAACAAATAAATTTCATAATCAAAACTTGAATCATTTTTAAAAAAATATCTCAGCATTTTAGAAGACAATAAAAAAATAAATTATCAGTTTTCCACCCGTCAACTACTATACTATATATCTGATTACAATGATAATGCATGGCTAACTAAATATTTACTTCTGTAGGTAAGAACAAAACCCTTTTCTCCTTTTGCTAAGAGGGATTTATGTAGATTGAAACTTAATTACATACCTATATATTCTTATATTTGCATCCCAATAATGTAAATCTATTATCCATTACGATTGGACCCATCTGAAAAATAAATAAGATTAGACAATTCCACCCCCAAAAGAAACGATTACCCACACGCACACAGATATTATATATATATATATAACGTTTGAATATTGATTTTCATATTGAAAAGGACATGGGAAGCATTTAGAACCAAAGGCATACATGATGAAACCTCCCCCCTCCCCCATGACATAAATTAATTGAATATTAATGTGTAATGGTATACATAAGCTAAGCCGACAACCTTTGGATCGGGGGAAGAAAGAGTCAAACAAATTGTGATATATGCACATAGCCTCCTACGAATAGATTCATCGATCAAATAGCACAATGCCAACACAACACAACTTGTATATATTTTAATTATTTGTCACATATATAGAAATCCCAAGTTTGGGAATTTAAAACTTAGTTTCGATGGCTCCGTCCATCACTTGGCCTTGGCAAAAGTATTGTATATATTGAGTATTTGTAGATTGTGATTTGTAAGAGACTACGAGTTTATATATTACTATATATATTTTTATTTAGTTTAGATCTGTATCATACTAAGAGTTATATTTAGGTTAAATTATATATTATTATACCTTTTCATTATGTATATATAGTTTATTATCGTCTACATTCCTTGGATTTATTTCCTCAAGGCCCGCAGGAGGGTTGGGAAAATCAGTAGAGTCGATAATGTCAAAAGTTTGGCTCAACTATCCATCACTTGTCCCCTTCAAATTCAATACAAAACAGTGTATTGTTTCAAATAATAGAAAAACATTTCTAAATTTTCTCGGTTACGTAAAATACAAATACAATATCATTTATGATTTTTTTGTATCTTTATAGCATATTTTTTTATTTGGGGTTATGTAGTCACACATGCAATATGATTTTAAAAAATGTAACACACATTTTATAACGAGATTTCAAACATAACAATGGCATAATATGATCAAACCCCGGATGAGATTATAAACGATAACACTTTGCAAACATTAAGCTTTAGTTAAAATGATAAGACACTAAGTTTTATTATTAATACAAAATATAAAATGAATAGATAAATGTAAATAGAAAACTCATACAATAATAAGATTGTAAAATACTTCTGCAAAGCCATGTAACATTTCTAAAATATTTCTAAAATATTTTATTTTATATCGGAATAAAATATTTTACCAAAAAAAAAAACATTTCTAAAATATCGGAATACTTGGTGATAATTTTCTTTGAAGAGAGTCCATCGATATATGTGTAAAAGGACAAAAAGGTCAACGTCGACGGACAGTGGAGTGGACAAAGCAAGGGGACACGTGGAAGACATCCGTTAGATCGGGCCGACCAATCTTGTTGTGTTTGAAGACTATGAACGGCGATGATGTAATAATGTAAGCCCAAACTATTTTGTTTTATTAAGGCCCATCGATTTTTCTTTTGGGTTTAAAAACACATTTAATTTTATTGGTAGGCTCCACTTTTATCTAGGCCCACCATTTATTCACTATCCACTCGACTTTTTATTTTTATTTTTTGTCTCGGGCTTTTTTATATGCAGTTTACTAATAAATCTCATCAGGAATACGTAGCACGAGATTTTATGTGGGCATAATTTTTTATATGAATTTGCTATAAGATTGTTGGACTATAATTTATTTCAAATATATTCAACTCGATGGATTAATTTTGTATAAATTAATACGCATTTTTTCTCTATTTGTCATTTTGTTGGCTAAAACGAGTATGTCTATCTAGTCGGACGGACATGGATGATCATCATGATGATGATATGATCATCATGACTCGCAAAACGAAAAGAGAGCACACTCACTCCATTGTGGGCCCAAAGCGAGAAGACCCAATAGGCCCATATGGTAAACAATACGCACGTGCGCAATTTCTTGGAAAATTGAAATGGAAATACTAGGGGAAAAAAGTTTTTTTTTTTTTTTTTTTTTAAAGGCTGGTTGTCGACGCTGTATTTTTTTTAAATAATTTTAATGTATGAGCGCGGTTTTACATATTATGATTATTGATTCCTCCATATCTATTTTACAAAAAAATTAATCATATATTAATTATCGAATTGTATTTTTTTTATATAATTTTTAGATTCTACAATATCACCGAAAACATACCTTTTTTGTGTTCCACATCTTATTTGTATTTTACTCAAGCACTAAATAAATACAAATACGATTCTCTTAACTACTGAATTGTATTTTTTTTATACAAAATTTTAGATTCTACAATATCACCGAAAAACATACCATTTTTATATCCCTCATCTCAATTTTTATTTTAGTCATATCGGTCGGAGAAAATAAATGCATTACTACTACTAATAATTAATACTCACCACTAAATAAATACAAATATGATTCCCTTAATGCACCTAATACGACTAACCTCCATTATTTATTTCTCGGCTAACCTGACATTCCAAAACGACGCCCTTTCCGACGCGGCTACGCAGGATATTGACTACCCGTTGACTTCTAATGGGTCTCGCCGGGAAACCCGCCGTCGCCATTTCCGACCGATTACCGGAGTCCTCCCTGCTTCTCATCCCTCACGAGGGCTCCATATGCAAAATCCCCTCCGATTCTTTTCACTTCGCCTACATCATCTACTTCACTCTGGGCGTCGGCTTCCTTCTTCCATGGAATGCCTTCATCACCGCCGTCGATTACTTCTCCTATCTCTACCCCGCCGCCTCCGTCGACCGGATCTTCGCCGTCATTTACATGCTTGTCGGTCTCGTCTTCCTCCTCCTCATCGTCGTCTTCTATGCCCACAAGTATAACGCCTGCATCCGCATCAATCTCGGCCTCTCCCTCTTTGTCGTGACCTTGCTCGTGGTTCCCATCATGGATCTGGTCTACATCAAGGGGCGGGTCGGGCTCTACGCCGGGTTCGATGTCACCGCCGTCGCCGTCGCCCTCTCCGGAATTGCCGACGCCCTTATGC